GTTTCACCCACACTAAATCATTTCACCCACACTAAATCATTTCACCCACACTAAATCATTTCACCCACACTAAATCATTTCACCCACACTAAATCATTTCACCCACACTAAACAACACTAAATCATTTCACCCACACTAAATCATTTCACCCACACTAAATCATTACACACACTAAATCATTTCACTCACACTAAATCATTTCACCCACACTAAATCATTTCACCCACACTAAATCAGTTCACCCACACTAAAACATTTTTGATAACTAAACTAAATTTTAAGTTTGACAAAAACTGCTGAGACATCTTGTCTAAAGTTTATACATTTATTATCCTGACTTTCAAACAAATTACAAGAAATGATTTTAATTTATTTTCAAACATTGATTAGATAGATGAAAATAAATAAACATTTGTAGACAATATTTTTCAAGTACTTTTCAATATCATTCAAGATTTCGCGATGTCACAAGCTTATTTTTATCTATAACAGTGATGACAGCGTTTAATGCAAACATATTATATTTCAATATTTTAGATTAAGTTTATTATATGCCAAGAAAGAAGAAGCAAAGTAATTTATCAAGACGAAAGAAGCAGAAAGAGTTGATTTCTGCACCGAGAGAGAAAATAGACATAAGTGATGACTCCAATCTCAATACAGAATGTTTTCTAGATGTAGTGGAAGAGATATCCATTGCAGATAATTGAAATTCAAATGATGGTAATGTTGGGCTATTTCCAGATGCAGTGAAAGAAATATCCATTGCAGATGATGGAAATTCAAATGATGGTAATGTCGGGCTATTTCCAGATGTAGTGGAAGAGATATCCATTGCAGATGATTGAAATTCAAATGATGGTAATGTCGGGCTATTTCCAGATGCAGTGGAAGAAATATCCATTGCAGATGATGAATATTCTAATGATGGGAATGTCTGGCTATTTCCAGATGCAGTGAAAGAAATATCCATTGCAGATGATGAATATTCTAATGATGGGAATGTCTGGCTATTTCCAGATGTAGTGGAAGAGATATCCATTGCAGATGATTGAAATTCAAATGATGGAAATGTCGGGCTATTTCCAGATGTAGTGGAAGAAATATCCATTGCAGATGATGAATATTCTAATGATGGGAATGTCTGGCTATTTCCAGATGCAGTGAAAGAAATATCCATTGCAGATGATGAATATTCTAATGATGGGAATGTCTGGCTATTTCCAGATGTAGTGGAAGAGATATCCATTGCAGATGATTGAAATTCAAATGATGGAAATGTCGGGCTATTTCCAGATGTAGTGGAAGAAATATCCATTGCAGATGATGAATATTCTAATGATGGGAATGTCTGGCTATTTCCAGATGCAGTGAAAGAAATATCCATTGCAGATGATGAATATTCTAATGATGGGAATGTCTGGCTATTTCCAGATGTAGTGGAAGAGATATCCATTGCAGATGATTGAAATTCAAATGATGGAAATGTCGGGCTATTTCCAGATGTAGTGGAAGAAATATCCATTGCAGATGATGAATATTCTAATGATGGGAATGTCTGGCTATTTCCAGATGCAGTGAAAGAAATATCCATTGCAGATGATGAATATTCTAATGATGGGAATGTCTGGCTATTTCCAGATGTAGTGGAAGAGATATCCATTGCAGATGATTGAAATTCAAATGATGGAAATGTCGGGCTATTTCCAGATGTAGTGGAAGAAATATCCATTGCAGATGATGAATATTCTAATGATGGGAATGTCTGGCTATTTCCAGATGCAGTGAAAGAAATATCCATTGCAGATGATTGAAATTCAAATGATGGAAATGTCGGGCTATTTCCAGATGTATTCGAAGAGATATCCAATACAGATGATGGAAATTTTTATGATGGAAATGTCAGCCCCACAAATGTGATTGACAAAATGAATTCAGATGTAATGGAAGGTCCGTAACAGATGATTGTTCCCATTCAAAGAAAATGGGTGAAAATTTCAAAAAATATTTTAAATTTGAGGAAAAGGTGATTCGACTGAAAGGGTTAAAATCAGATCAAGGAAACAGTCGAAAGAGGTATTATAAAGAATACAAAAATTTCAGAATAGCTGATCCTGAATTCAGGGCAGCTGAAAATTTGAGAGAAACTCCCAATAAGAGGAAAAAAAGAAATGAAGATCCTGATTACTGGGATTTGAAGAAAGAGGTTGGAGCTGAAAGTGCCAGAAGAGCTGATCCTGATTTCAGAGCAGCTGAAAGAGAAAGGGAAGTCTATGGTAAACAGACTCAGAGAGCTGATCCTGATTTCAGAGTAGCTGAAAGAGAAAGGGAAGTCTATGGTAAACAGACTCAGAGAGCTGATCCTGCTGTAAGAAAAGCTGAAAGAGAATTGGAAGTCTATGGTAAACAGACTCAGAGAGCTGATCCCGCTGTAAGAAAAGCTGAAAGAGAATTGGAAGTCTATGGTAAACAGACTCAGAGAGCTGATCCTGTTGTAAGAAAAGCTGAAAGAGAATTGGAAGTCTATGGTAAACAGACTAAGGGAGCTTATCCTGCTGTAAGAAAAGCTGAAAGAGAATTGGAAGTCTATGGTAAACAGACTAAAAGAGATGATCCTCAATTTAAGGCAGGTAAAAGAGTCAGGGAGAATGCGTCCAAAATTTGTCAAAGAAAGAAGAAAGATCTTTCATCACCCGATGAATTATTTTCTGAATTTCACAAGAAAATTGAAAACTTTGTATAAAAAAGAAGGCATTTGTTTTGAAGAAAATTGGAATCAGGATCTTGGAACCAAGGCAATGGAGGTGTCTTGAAGGATTCTGAATTTGACAGGATTCCAGCAGTCGTGGACTCGAATCTCAAAAAGATGAAGGAAATGATGGAATAGAGGATCTTGAAAATCGGGGCAATGGAAAAGTCTTGAATGATTCTGAATTTGACGGAATTCCAGAAGTCGTAGACTCGGATCTCAAGAAAGTTGAAGGAAATGATGAAAATTTTCTAGCACAATCTGATGGAGATAACTGCAGTGAAGATGAAGGTGATGTAGAAGTTGCAAGCTCTAAAGATACACTTTTTATATCACCTGACTTTATTGAGAATGATGAGAAAGAGAGAGTTCAGAATTTTGCTCCAGGAGAAGGGAACTTTCCCTTGAGTATATTTATGGACAAATACTCTGAAGAACTTGCATTTCCTAACATTTTCTTTGGGAAAGGTCGAACTGCAATTTCTGATAGACCTACTAAGGTTTATTACAGTGAAATTTGTAAATCAGAATTGAGAGGAGATGATCGGAGGGCAGCCAATTGCATTGACAACACCTTTTTTATGTTAAAAAAGTTGCAAATGAAAACATTGCTTGGAAGTGCTCAAATTGCCCTTCGAAAAAACAAAACTGATGGAGATATAAAAAATTCAGCAACTGTTAAAAATTTGATAAATTTTGATGAAGGATATATGGTGTTAAAAACACTAAGAGGTTCACCTCCTTATTTCAAAAAGGCTCAAATCGATTTATTTGCTATGATTAGGCAGCTGGGGCCTGCAACCTTTTTTTGTAGTTTCTGAGCTGTTGAGACTCGTTGGAGACATTTGTTACGAATTCTTGGTAGAGTGCAAGATAACAAAGGGTATACTAATTGTGAGATTGATAACATGGATTGGGAAACTTAAAGTAGATTGGTGTCTTCTGACCCTGTAACTTGTACTAAGCAGTTCTAAAGAAAGAAAACTCAGCTATTGGAAAAGTCACAGATTTTTTTTCTAGAGTTGAGTTGCAACACAGAGGCTCACCACGTATTCATACATTGCTGTGGTGTGCTCCTGTCTATGGTGACAATGATGACATTTGTAAATTTGTTGATTCTACAAATACATGCAGTAGAATGATGGAGAATAAGAATTTGGCAGAGTTTGTGAAATATTAAACTCACAAGCATTCACACACTTGTAAAAGAAAGAATAAAAAAACTTGTCGATTTGGTTTTCTCAAGCCTCCTATGAAAGAAACTAAAATTTTTAGAACCACTTGAATGTGATTTTCCACATGTCCAAAAGTGTAGGGAAAGTGGGCATGGATGACTTGATTGAAGGAGAAGACAAAACTTTTGATGAGTTTTTGGAAAGGGTAGATTTGAAATATGATGACTTTATCATCATCCTACTGTATTTTCGAAGAGAATCCCCTTTGAATTGAGGGTGAATGCTTACAACACCAAATTATTGGACTGCTGACAAGCAAATCATGACATTCAATTTTTGTTAGATGTCTATGCTTGTGCACTGTACATTGCTTCATACATAGAAAAGTCACAAAGGGGTATAAGCGACATTTTACGCAAAGCTTGTGATGAAGTAAGAAAGGGAAATTGTGGAAATAAATTTTTGAATAATGTTGAAATTAGTGCCCACGAGGCTGTTTACATCATACTACAATTATCTATGAGAAAATCATCTAAAGAAGTTGCATTTGCAAACACATCTCCTCCTAATGATAGAGTGAAACTGCTTAAAACTTAGAGGAGTTAGAAGACGATGATGAAGATGTGCAGTCTAGCAATATGATATCTCGTTATAGCAAAAGACCTAAAAAAATATATAACACTAGCACAGTCATCATATGATAAAAGGAAACATTATTTTAAACGTTCTAAAAATGTTGGACTTTAAACTTTAATAGAAAATGCTAAAAAGCATGATGCAGCAATGATTGCTGAAAAAGATAATTTGGATGATGCCTGGGACAAAGAAGTCCCTCCAGGTTAACAGCCCGAGAGAACAGATGAACAGGAAGAACAGGCTAATATAGATGTTCTGAAAGAGAAGGGCGAGCCTGTATGAATATGACATTGGTCCAGATCTTGGTATATACCCAAACAAGACACTGAAGATGCTATAAAATTGTACGAGATACCAGAAATGAGTATAGACATTAGACATGAGATCTCTAAATGTGGGGCAAATGAAATTTGTAAATGACACATTACGTGTCATTAAGACATCTGAAAACCAAGTTTTTAGATTTTTGAGTGGTGGGGCTGGTGTAGGTAAAAGCTTTCTTACTACAGTATTTTAACAAAGTTTACTACGCTACTATAAATCAAAGGTGGTGATGAATATCGCACGAGAAGACAGTTACTGCTAGCACCTACTGGTAAAGCGGCATTCAGTATTAAAGGAAATACAATCCATAGTGCTTTGAAGATTCAAGCCAATCAAAATATGGAATATAAAAGTTTGGATTGCAGTAGATTAAATACCATTCGAACACAGCTCGGAGGTTTGAAAGTGGTTTTTATTGATGAAATATCTATGGTTGGAAATAGAATGATGAATTCCATTAACAGTGTTGCAAGATATTAAATAATCTCCTTTAATATTTGGAGGAGTACATGTCATTGCAGTCAGAGATTTGAATGCTATGTATTCCAAAATTTGAATAATTTGTATGGCCCTTTTGCCAGTAATTTGTGGAAATATAATTTCAAAATGTATGAATTAACAGAAATTACGAGACAAAAAGATAGTAAAAAATTTACAGAAATGTTGAACAGGCTGAGGGAAGACAACTATGTCTCAAAAGAACAAAAGATGGAAGATATGAAACTTTTCAAAACAAGAGTTATGTCTAATGCGGAAGTCGCGCAAGGTCGCTCATGTAAATTATTAAACATTTTCGGAAATCCACGAAAAATAGGTTACCACGAAATTAGGTTACTTGACTGTATTGCCATGACTTGTAATTCTTTGCTGGGTTTGTGAAGTTAAATTGAAGTCCAGATATTGGAAGATCCAGATATACTCAGCTACAAAACCTTTTTTTTAAATTGTAGTCAAGTAGCCTAATTTCGTGCTAACCTATTTTTCGTGCATTTCCGGAAAGGATTAATGATTTACATACACCCCTGTATATTATTTTAGAACGTATTTTTTTTAAACCTAATTTAGTTACTTTTCTTACTGAGCACCTCGTCACTCGGTGCATTTTGGTTTGAAGCATGCATTTGTATCATAAAAGCAAGTTCTCACAAACACATTGTTAAGTATTTGGAAATTAATACTGTTGTCTGTAATTCTAGAATTTTGAATCTCATTTAAGCAAAAATTTCCACTTGTCTAGTAGATGTATTTTACTTGATCTGGATTAAAATGTTGAAATTCAGCATTGGTCTTTTTAGTTAATCAATTCCTTTGCAACCAATTTAACAATTTGCATTAAAAATTTACGGTTCTTGGTAATGGAACCGGTCAGTCTTAGTCGCAGCGAATCATTCATCATCAAGTATTAGTGGCACTTCGTGCGAAAGTTATTTTTTGCTCAAAGCTGTGGTTATAGCCAGCTGGTGTTATGTCAAGCTAGCCACAGCCACAAAGGTGTGGAATCAGCTGACACAACGCCTCAGCGAGCCTAAAATTGGCAAGCGGGCTGGCCCATGGGTCTAGTCCTGTACTAAACATATTGTTTTTTATGTTAAATTACTCCATAATCTGTTATCTTCAGTCATTTTGAGCATATGAAATATTGAAAGACATTAGAGCCAGTCCCATTACTCTTGAATCATTAATTAGTTGAATTTTATCGTGCAGACACTAATGAGGTTACTTACTGGTGGCCAACCCTGTCTCCACACCTATGTGTAGATTTCCGTGGGACCAGTCTGCATGCGTTTCTTGTGACGGCATTTACCAAGACACAGACTAATATAAAAAAAATTATCAAAGGAACAGAATGAAAATAACAACATAAAGTCACAAAATAGAAAAATGATATAATAATTTTCTAGCCAGGTCAATATTTTGTTGTTACCAAACGTAACATTTGTTCTCTGGATTCATGTTAGTGGATGATGAGCAGCCAAATACATCAGAAAAATCTTTTGAGTTCTGTACAGATCCAATTACTCTGTAAAAAAAAGAAAGAATGTATTGGAACAAGCTGTAATCCAACACTAAGGCCTAGTTCATACGTCGACATTTAGGTCGATACAAATCATACAGATCGGTAGTTGATTCATGTGGTACTGAAACAAGAGACTCTCTGAATATTGAAAGATTTTATGTAACATTCTTGCTGTTGCACTAGCAATAAGCGATATTGTATTCGATACAATCATATAGGTACAATTGCAACGATTTTCAATCAATTTGCAACTCTGTTCTTTCGCTACTTTCAGCTATCGTGCTGGTTCAAGATAAAAAAAAAAGTGGCGTAAAGCGCATGTTCAGTCAAGAAATTTTAGGGTAAACCCTCAATTCATTGTAATATCATTAGCATAGCCTAATTTATTCGTAAAACTCGATAGACAAAAAGTGTGACATATGGAACTTACGCTTACGTCATTCTACTCAATCCAAGATGGTGACACAACGCCAGGTCGACCCACATTATTAATCGCGGCAAATTGTCGACCCAAGTGGATTCAAACGTTGAACTGTTCATGCGCCTAATGCCCGTATAATAATAACTGCAAAGTGCTGTAAAAATGCGAACTAATCCTAAATCTTCCTGATCAGAGTAAACTATCAACCTACCTTAAATTTGGAGGACTGTGAACTCCAGTTAAAATTTGTCTAATAGCTGCCTCTTCTCTAACTTTGTTGCACCATATCTAAAAATATTCAAAAGGTAAGTTGGCTTCATTTACTTTGAATTTGGGGTTAATCTGTTTTTCAGACCATTTAAATTTAATTAATATTCCGTTCCATAATTTTACACATTCCACTACTATACCTTATGCCTTACCTAGATACCTTATGCCTCAGTCCCACTGGGAATTTATGAATCGGCAATGGAGAAATGTGGAAAAGCTTTGCGATGCCTTGTTATGGATGGCGACAAAATTTTAGAAAAAGGTGGAGCAGTTCCATAAAATTTGCAACGCATATGGTTCTGCAAAGGTCCGCTTAATATTAGGCGACAGTTCCGCGATGTTCGCCGATAATCTGCGATTGATCCGCTGAACATGACGAGGATTGGTCGGCGAAAGTCGGCGATGGTCGGCGACTGTTGCCGTTGTATCGGAAAATATTCAGCGTTACATTGGCGATGTTGAACGAAGGTTCTCAACTATTTGGCGATCATCCCCTAAACATTGCAGAGACATAACGTAGCCGATTATCCCCAGATCTTGGCGACATTATGGGAGGAGGGGGGCTACTGGAGTTGTCTTGCCATCCTTAGAATGGAAGAACAAGCACTAGCTTTGTATCGAGAAGACCAGCAATAGTTAGAAGCTGTACTGTTATTAGTGTGTAGGAGAAGAGAAATAGCCAGAAGACGTTATTGGGTCAAGCGTTGGATCTAGAGGAGAAAACGTGGACGTATATTGTCGTCTCCCCTGTCCGTCCGTCGGACCACATTTCATGTAGCCACAATAGAGGCTACAGTTTTTATCCGATCTTGATGAAACTTGATATGCATGTATATAGCCTACTGATAAGATCTCAGTCAAGTTCTATCTTTGTAATTGTCGAAAGAATGGTTTTGGGGTTATTACCCTTGACTTAGTAAACACGCGTCAAAATTGACTTGTGGCCGCGATAGAGACTACACTTTTTATCCGATCTTGATAAAACTTGGTATGCATGTATATATTGATGAGATCTGAGTCAAGTTCGATTTGGTAATTTACGAAAGAACGGTTTTGGAATTATTGCACTTGACTCGCCCTTTTATCCGATCTTGACGGAATTAGATGTGCGTGTTTAAATTGATGAGATGTCGGTCAAGTCGAAATTGGTAATAACCGGATGAACGGTTTTATATACTTATTGCCTTTGACCTAATAAAAACTCGTCAAATTTGGCTTGTAGGCTACAGCTTTTATCTGATCTTGATGAAACTTGGTATGAATGTATATATATCGATGAGATCTCAGTCGAGTTCGAAATTGGTAACAATAGGATGAACAGTTTAAGACGAGTCGATGAGACCTTGTTGATGATAATTTGATGAACTGTTTTCATTAAGGAGCCACTAAAGACTTTGTTGTCATTTCTGACAGCTGATAGTGGCCGAATGTTACCTTGCCTGGCAAGCTATCTTTCACACAATGAGTGAGTATATTACTGACCTTTGGCATATCGGATTTTTTTCAAGGATAATCGGTATTGTAACGATTTGTTGTAATTAGTATGAGTTATAATTATGTCAATTTACCTGGCCAAAATTTATAAAGAATAGCTGATTATTATTATATTTCAAACCAGGCAGTCTTGCTTCTTCCCCTTCTTTAGCTATAACATTCTTATAAGCCTGCAAGATTACATCTTTTTGTAATATTATATATTGAAATAGACGTATAGTTAAATATAGTTAGTAAATACAATCAGTTTTATCGTAGACTGTAGGTGTGAACCATGAACCAAGAATTTTGATGCATACATCACTCATAAGATACAAAACAGTTTTACTGCACTAGTACATGCAATTGAATAGTCCAAATATAGAGGTGTAGAATGCATATTGCTTACTCTATAACTTTGTTTTAAACCACCATTATCGGCTATGTTCTCACCTTGTGTATTGATACCATTTACCTAATAATGGAATGTAGTTAATTTCAAGTTTTCTTCTGAGAGTAATAAAGTGCTAATTGTTAAGTATTTCGGTCTGAAACAACTGGAACAATAACTCTAAGAGATTCGCGTTTATTGCCAATTTGCTTAGGATTTTGTATTTGACTAAAGGCTATTCAACGTGCCTAAAGTGTATGAAAGATCGTGATAACTTTTAACTTTTTAACTAACAAAACTATTATCGATTTAAAATTAGTTTACAACGCTGTCAAAACTTCTCAATTTCGTGTAAAATTTTGATAATGTCAAGAGCGACAAAATATGTTCAGGCTCATCTATACAAAACAACCGATAAAAAATGAATCACTTACATTCATGTTTGCTTCCGGTAATATATAAGTGGAATATTGGTCTATAATACATTGAGCCTTAGCTTTAAACTGGTCAATAGCATCATCACTCCACCATTGTAACAGATTACCATCCTTATCATATTGTCTACCTAAAATATTATTATATAGACATCATGCTACACTGTATTTTAATGGTATGTCGGTGGATTGTGGAATGAAGCAATGATACACAATTTTCAGCACATTTTAATCATATACACAGCGATGAAACAAATCGATAAGACACTTTCTACAAATTGTTGTCTTGAGATGGAGCATTGATAGTTTTTAAACTTTCTACATACCTGAATCATCAAAGCCGTGTGTGATCTCGTGACCAATTACTACACCTATGCCACCATAATTCAACGCCCTTTCATAGAAAGCACATTAGTACAACCCAAAAAGGAATTGTAAAGGGGTTTTCTAAATTTCTTATGTGCATCGGGGACAGTGATAGCATCAATTTTCACCTTTCCAATTTCTATCAGAAGTGTGTGGTTCATTGCGATTAGTGACGTCATCAAAAACTCATCTTTTATGGAATTACAGGAAACACAGGTGTCTGATAGAAAATTGGAATGTAAATTGATGTCATCATTGTTATCTATGTCCCGGATACCTCTTACAATCCCTTCCATGACTTATATCATACTAATATTTACGACGTATAACATCTTTTCAATTCCATTCAGTAATTTTAAACATTTCAGAGATATTATTATGCCATTTTATCAACATTCTAAGGATCATTCTAAAAATTATAAGAGAATAAGCGCATTATTATGATGCATTATACTAATATATTTTCAATACGGGTTGTAGTCAGTCTATTCTAATGCATGTCCATTTAAACCACATTATGATACAAAAAGATTGTCATAACTTACTTGGGATAGTCTTTATTGAAGAAAGGTGGCTGAAGTATACCTGCTGGAAACACTATAAACAGACAGAGATTTAAGATGAAATGAATTTAAAATGGATCAGCTAAACGACAAATTGACTGCGATTAAATTACACAAATCTTGAATTTTGTGAGACAATATAACAGTAAGCCAGGGATGCATGATATACATGTATTATGTTATGGTATCATGACGTTATGTCGTAAAATAGTTAATTGTCATAATTGTATACCGAATGTTGATAGATTAATAAAACTGCTTGATGGATGAACACGCTTTCTCATTGCGTCTCATCAACGATATTCGTTTTATGAATTCGAACCGAATTTCATTTGATTCCATCAAAAAATCTAGTTTTTAGAGCGTTTACAAGCAAATGTTGACGCGCGGACGGACGGACCGACGGACCGATCGACGGACCGACGGACGGACAGACAGGGGTGCCGACAATATACGTCCACATAGAGATATGGGCGTATAAAAATAGATTTAATGTAAAACTGATGCCTATAATTTTCTCTATAGAAACTATTCAACTTACTGGTGTAGGTAACTGCAAATGTAATAAGAAATACAAGGGTTGTTATTGTAGCTAGTACACTAAAGACAATCAGTGATTTTTCTAAAGTCGTTCTCCCTCTCAGTTTCAAACATCCTGATTTCTTTTCCCTGAAAAGAATATAAAAGGCAACATTATCATTATAACTTGCATTGTGCATTATATGTTTTATAAACATTATGTCCTGGAGCTGGTGTAGATGTTAACGACGAAGACATGATGATACACGATGATGATAATAGATGACGTTTACTACGACAACTGTAAGCTGAAATTATATTCATCAACTGATCAAATACAAATCTAGATGACTACAGAATTAAATAAATCTATATTAATCATTTTGTAAAATCTAAAGTTAATGAAGCAGAACTTTGTAATATTACACCAATTTGCACATCTAAAGTCCTGATATATTTATCCCAACTAGATTCATCTAAAAGCGCTGGACTGGATACCTTGAACCCTATTTTCGTTAAAACAGGAGCATCACTTTTGGCACCTCCTCTAACATATAATTGTGTATTACAAAATCCTTATATCCGAAATTCTGAAGTTAACCAAAGTACTCCCTTTCCATAAAAATGGGACTAGAGATAATCCTTCAAACTATAGACCCATTTCAATGTATATCGTTTATTCGATTTTCCCTCGGAGAAAAAAGACTCTGCTTTAGGCCCTGGAGTTGATGATAAACTACATGTGAGCAGCCAATTCAAAAATTTATTTTGTGCAACTGTCATGCATCCAATTTTGTTAAATCAAAACCACTAATTGCGCAAACTTCAAGGAAACTAAGATTTGGAATACTAGTTTTTAACTGGCTACTCTGAATACATTAACCAATTATCTAAACTCTCGCAGATTCTGGGAGTTTTATGGCTGCAAACTATGACCATACTATTTATAGTTTTAAACAAGAACAGAACAGAAAACTAAAACACAACTTTTCAACTCAGAGAAAGAAATTTGATACCAATGTGTGTACGTCATCAAGAATTTTAAGGAACCAATAGTTAATGACAAGTTTATGAGATTACACCCCATGTAGCTACATTTGGTCAAATTCCCTATTTTGTAGAAATTGGCGGCCATTGACAGTAAGATGTTATACTGTATATCTAAACCCTTAGAAAAACATATTTCTCATCATCGTAATTCATCTTAACTGATAATGATATACTTCATGCTCATCGGCCTGGTTTTAGGGCGGAATATTCATGTTTAACAGTCTTAACAAATATATATCCGAAAACATCGATAAATTCTTAGATAATAATGAATTATGTGGTTTGATATTTACTGACTTTCAAAAAGCTTTTGATTTAGTGAACCATTCTTTATTATTAAAGATCTATAAACTGACTGAACTTCTTTCCTCATATCTAAGAGGCAACCGTGGAGTTATGCTAATGGTACATTATCCCCACACTGTGTGATATCAGATGGAATTCCCTGTGGGTCTATTTTAGGACCTATACTTTTTAATATTTTCATTAATGATCTTCCACTTTATTTGAAATCTCACTGTGATTTATTCGATGAAGATACGACTGTCTATTCAAGTAATTCATTTTTATCGCAACTTCAAACAAATCTTCAACTATCGAATTAGCCAATTGGTGTACGAATAATTCGATGATAATGAAACCAAATCTAAAAATATGCTTATAACCACTAATCAACGAAGATCTCGTATGAATATCGATAAGCTGAATTTCAATTAATAATTCCACAATTGAAAATGTCTCAAAATCTAAACTTTTGGATGTTGTAATTGACAATAACATGGACTGGAAAGATCATATAAATCATATCAAAAAGTTATTAGTAGTAAACTTTACCAGCTTAGAAAAATAAAATCTTTCTTATCTCAATCATCGCTTACGTTTTAAGGGATCCAGTCTTTGGAGTAGCCTACCTTCAAATCTACAAGTTTTGAACAATCTCAAATCATTTCATAAAAATATTTCAATTTAAATCTCAAAAACAAAAAGGTACAGTTTTTTTTTTTTATCAAAGTTGTATATAAATCTATTAAATTGACAGTTATTACATGTTTCTTCTGTTATCAATTTTATATCGCTTGTATAATTGTTACTGAATAATTTTGTGTGTATGTATATAAGATGGGTGAAATGCAAGAAATGCTTTTGAGCCTAATTTCTTACCCTAATAGAGATTAGGGTGATTGAAGAGTAACCAGTTACTATTCAATATAAGGCACTGGCACAGGGTTAAAGTTATGTTTAAGGGTAATTATTATTATTATATTTTCGTGGTGAAAAATTTCAACGTTTAACACCATATAGCACAAGTACAGCAAGGGAAACTAAGGGAAGAATAAAGCAGGTTTCAGACCAAGTAGATCTTGTACAGACAAAAATAGGTACAATCCGTATCAATGATCATTATTTAACAATCTAGTGAACCACTGTCCACTCTAAGACTTAAAGAAAACATTTGATACGGTAGATGGAACAGCTATCAGGACTATCCCACAATAGTACGGCATACCAGAAAAAAATCAACATATAAATACAAACCTGTCAAGTTATCCATGACCTATCTTCCCTCTTCAGTGTTAACACGTTGAAATAGTGTCTCTGGTGATAGACTGGGTAATGAGAACAGTTACAGGCAAGCCTATAGGGGAATACTATGGACCTTTACTTTACAGCTTAAAAACTTTGACTGCGTCTAAGATATTGGACTGTCTCATTTCTACCAACTTATCCAACAGAAGAGCGAGCGTCTACAAACGGTTTCAAGACAGTATGAATACACCAAAAACCTGAGAATTGATGCGGCCCATGATACACCTAGAAGGTGTGGTCAGAAGAACAGGGGCAAAAAAAGACATATTGGCCAGGACACGCAATTGCACAAATTTATCTGGAACAGCAGTAGTAACCACTAAAGAACAAAAACTTGTTTGAAACCGATGTCAACATGGTGTTTCTATATGGATCGCAAACCTGGAGACATCATAATACCTGGGCAATAAAATCAGGTGTTCATCAATACCTGCTTCAGGTGTATCCCACGCATTAGATCACCGGAAGGAATATCTAACCAGGAGTTGTGGCGGCAATAAAAACAAATTCCCCCCACCAATAAAATAAGGAAATGGAAATGGTGAATTGGACACATGCTTAGAAAGGACCGATCCAACATTGACATGACGAAGGAACCTGAACGCAGAGTTACCTACGAAAGCTTTACATGAGCTTGGAAGAAGTGAAGCAAGCTGCAACAAACCTAGTCCGATGGCGTTCTCTGTGGTCGAGGCCCTATAGTCTCAACATAACAGAGATGAAGAGGATTGGATCTGTGCACATATCTTTAGTTGTATAATTATTAACGAACTGTAGCGGTGCAAGCCTGTCGAGACTGGAGGTAAGACTGCCTCAATTGGGGCACAAACTATCGAACCTGAATTCAAAATGCGACATCTCAGTTGTCTGAGAGGGTTTCCCCCAAACAATTTTCGAAAGATTGAACTGAAGCATAATTCGGTTCAAAAACTTAAAATTAGTTATATATATATTATATTTTTCAATTAGTTATAAACAAAAATAAAGTTGGGTGCAAACCAGTTTACTAGAGGTGCAATCTAGTAAACTAGTGCCGCCACTGGCAACAAAATGTAAGATCTGGTCATCCCCACTTCTGCTACGGCGCCGTAATTTGAAAATGTTCTATAGTTACGGCAGACTACACATATCTGTATTTTATTTAGTAATATTCGGTAACAATAGACACTTCAAGTTCTAAAACTAATCTTACCTCGGAATTTCGTGACCTGATGGAGCTATCCTGGAGCTGTTGTTTTCCATGACTTGAATGTATATTTTAGTGGCATTCCCATTGTTTAGGTTGCCTTATATATTATCTTATAATATTTTGAAGTATACTTGAGGGTAGAATCTCAATAGAGCCCTAAATTATAAGACATGATAAACAGGGTTCTGGGTGATAACGATATTGGTTTGTTTAGCGAGTAGAAACAAGTTTTACTCACAAAATGAAGCAACATTTAATATTTCTTTGCTTGGTTATAGAAGAATTAATGTGTGATAAAACTTCAAGAGAGAATATCCATTTATATATATGCGCCTATATCTGGAATATTTGGTGATCTCCACTCCTGTTACAAATTACATTCTGAATACGTCAATTCAAAATTTTTATGAAACTTTTATACGATGTAGGCCTAGTCCATGAATGATATGGCTAAAAATAGGAGCTATCTGTAATCTTTCACCAGGGAAAAAACAGTTATCTCTGCGTCTTTTCCCATACTGTTTTGTCCGACAAATATTCTTATGATATAATACATGGGAATGGGTGACCTATATTCTGACCTATTTTTATACGCCAACATGAAATGGGTGGGGCGTATATTGTCGTCACCCTGTCTGTCCGTCCGTCGGTCCGTCGTTACAATTGCTCGTAATCTCTCTACAAGGTACAATTCTTGACTGATTTCGACGAAACTTGGTAAGGTTGTTTGTAATCACCCAAGGATGAAACCTATTGAAAATCAGAAAAATCGAAAAATATTTAGTATGAATTATTGCCCTTAACATAAAACGCTTGTAAACACCCTAGAAGGCACAATTCTGGACGGATTTTGACGAAACTTGGTGTGAGTGTTTTTAATCACCCAAGGATAAACCCTATCAAAAATCAGAAAAATGTAAAAATATTTAGTAAGAGTTATTGCCCTTGTTCTTGAAAACGCGTTCAATTTTTAGCTCGTAAACACTCCAGAAGGTACAAATCTTGACGGATCTAGATGAAACTTGTTATGAGTTAAACGCTCTAGAAGGTTCAATTATTGACAGATTTTGACGAAACTTGTGAGTGTTTGTTGTCACCTAAGGATGAACCCTATTGAAAATCAGAAAAATCGAAAAATAATTGGTATGAGTTATAGCCCTTGTTCTTGAAAATGCGTTCAATTTGTACCACGTAAACACTCTAAAAGGCACAATTCTTGATGGATTTTGACGAAACTTGGTGTGAGTGTATGTAATCATCCAAAGATGAACCCTAACGAAAATCGGAAAATATTATTGCCCCTGTTCTTAAAAACGCGTTCAAGTTTTAGCCTGTAATCACTCTAGAAGGTCCAATTCTTGACAGATTTTGAAGAAACTTGGTAATATTATTCAGTATCGCCTCAAAAAGTTCAAAAGAAGTGTATGTCTGAAGGTTGAATATTTCATACTGGTAGGTCAATTGTAACTGTACTGCAAAATATTTTTATTTGAAATCAAAGCTGCCAGTGGGCGTATATAACCTTGCCTGGCAAGCTAATTTATCTTTACTCAACACAGTTTATTGTTTCGGATTACCCTATTTTTAGTATTTGAGAATTTTCGGATTATCGTCTGTTTTTTCCACAAAGGGAAATAACTCTTTTCTAAATTGTGTTGTTTTTGTTTCCTGTTTTGTCTTAAAATAATACTTTTGCAATTGTTCTCTTCGATTCAATTATTTGGTGAGTGATATTATAATTATTCTTAGATTATATTTGGTCTTAATCTGGTTTTATAAGTGATGTTTCGATAAACTTCTATCATGGTCTCTTTTGACATGGTGTCTGTAAAATGCACACCCCTAGCCTAAAACCAGTACAGTGGTTACTTGACTGTACCATTGTAATCTAGTCTATTTATTTTAATTATTAGTTTTAGTGTATATGAAGGCACTAGAGATTTGTACAGGTTTGAAATAGCGATATTTATATGTATGAATTTTAGCATCAAGAATGACAAGTGAAAATAATTTAGAACAGTTTGTGTTATTGGCTAAAACAGCCAAAGGGGCTGCAGCAGTTGGCTTGATAAATCAAGTTTTAGAGGCCCCTGGTATTTTTGTTTTTGGTGAATTATTGGATATGCCAAATATACAAGAGGTAGGCCAGTTTTATCAGTCAATTTATTAATAATCAAATTGATAACTGCTGGCAAATTGCCACCCATCTTCATTAGCCAACATGGTGCAGAAAAGTAGGACGTAAAACTCAATTCATTTCATTTCATTTCTGCAAATTGCCATTGTTGGCCCACAAACAGCAATTTAGTGGCGTGATTATTTTTCAAAGAACATTTTGCCTTTTATTATGTAATCTAAACATAGCAGTCCGCAATAAGAGATATACCGGAATCAAGTTTGAACCTAGGAAAAGTTTGTCAATTTTGAACCGTTTCTTTTTTAACTTTTGTGTGTTTTCTATTCTATTTTATATTATAGTTATCATCAGGTCCAAATGAAGCACATTACAATCTTCTTAATTTATTTGCTTATGGAACATACAAGGATTACAAAGGTGGGCTTGTGTTAGAATTTTGATTAAGATTGGGTGAGATATGAGCACTGAACACCTTTTAAAATAGAATTAAAATTGTGTATGAAGATGCTGATGTGATTTTAACAATGTAAAAAAAAAAAAAAAAAATTAATCTACCTATAATAATGCTTGTCATCTTTAAATCAATAGAAACAAATATTTACCTATATTGTCTTTAAAAAGATATAGTAAAAAATGAAGCTAATTTTCACTTCTTTATTACAGAAAACAAAGCCAAATTGCCTGAATTAACAACAATACAACTGACAAAATTACGCCATTTAACAGTAGTGTCTTTAGCAACTAAAACTAAGGTCAGTAACAAGTAGATATTTTTTACATTTAGTTGTCAGACCATTTGATTTGGTATATCTTAAATATGTGTTGATTTGGTGACTTTTATTTATAATTTCAGTGTATTCCTTATTCAGTTTTATTACGAGAACTTGACATTCAGAATGTTAGAGCTATAGAGGTAGGTATTAGATCATGGTGTCTAGTGTTGAAACGGATTAATCAGTTAACCGATTTTGGGTAGAATTCCATGGGTAACCAGGTCTGATTTGAGATAATCGGTTAACCGTCAATTTGATAAGAAGCAAAAAGAGAGCAATTTTGACAGAAATTTCGTCACTGTATGAATCTTTAAGCTGTATTCTTTAGTAAATAAACATCTTTATTGATGATTGAGATTAATAAATCAAGATAGGGTATCAATTATCAAAACACTATTACTTTTTATTAACTCTCCTCTAATTGGCTGTTTGTTTCTTCTTGCCTGTCAATCAGCTTCAAGCTTATTAATATTCGTGATACAGATTCATTGATACATAGTTTTATACCAGTTGTGGAACCAGTACACTGATTCGCAGCGACTTCAATGAGATACACTCAATACACTGACCCCACAACTGGTATAAAAACCTTTGATCTGTTAGAGACTTTTGACCCCTTTTATAATCTTTAGTAATTAACCGGAATTAACCGGGTGCACAAACGGTTATTGCCAACGATTACCCAGTTCGTAAAATTCACTAACCGTTTCAACACTAATCTTGTCCAAACCACCTGATACGATGGTATTAGATATTCTTTGAAACTAGAGACGAAACACAGACCAAGGCCACAAATATATATCACTGATAATGAGGCTATGCCATGCTTTTATACTGAAGGAGGTTGCTTTTATTGGTCATATTTTAATTGTAAGAGTCAGGTCTGTTAAGACAGCTATTGTTATTCCATGATACATCCACAGTGAAATCAACAATCCGAATGATGCCTGTCATTTATTTCATTCGGATAACCAAACTTTGCAAGCGTAAAATGGAATACATGTATACTTAAAATTCATTTTGTTGCTTGGTCCTGAAATTAAAACTATCAGTTTGAATCGGCCTCAATTGTACCACATATTCTCAATCTTTTTTTATTTTATAATTAGGACATTATTATTGAAGTTATATGTGCTGATGTTATACATGGTAAATTAGATCAGAAAAATCAGCAATTAGAAATAGATTATGCTATAGGTCGTGATATCAAACCAGAATCTATACCTGTTGTTATATCAGTTTTACAAGATTGGTAGGTTTTTATTATTAGAAATAGATTATGCTATAGGTCGTGATATCAAACCAGAATCTATACCTGATGTTATATCAGTTTTACAAGATTGGTAGGTTTTTATTATTAGAAATAGATTATGCTATAGGTCGTGATATCAAACCAGAATCTATACCTGATGTTATATCAGTTTGACAAGATTGGTAGGTTTTTATTATTACAAATAGACTATGCTATAGGTCGTGATATCAAACCAGAATCTATATCCGATGTTATATCAGTTTTACAAGATTAGTAGGTTTTTATTATTACAAATAGATTATGCTATAGGTCGTGATATCAAACCAGAATCTATACCTGATGTTATATCAGTTTGACAAGATTGGTAGGTTTTTATTATTACAAATAGATTATGGTATAGGTTGTGACATCAAACTAGAGTCTATACCCGATGTTATATCAGTTTTACAAGATTGGTAGGTTTTTATTATTACAAATAGATTATGGTATAGGTTGTGATATCAAACTAGAGTCTATACCTGATATTATATCAGTTTGACAAGATTGGTAGGTTTTTATTATTACAAATAGATTATGCTATAGGTCGTGATATCAAACCAAAATCTATACCTGATGTTATATCAGTTTTACAAGATTGGTAGGTTTTTATTATTACAAATAGATTATGCTATAGGTCGTGATATCAAACCAGAATCTATACCTGATGTTATTTCAGTTTGACAAGATTGGTAGGTTTTTATTATTACAAATAGACTATGCTATAGGTCGTGGTGTCAAACCAGAATCTATATCCGATGTTATATCAGTTTTACAAGATTGGTTGGTTTTTATTTTTACAAATAGACTATGCTATAGGTCGTGATATCAAACCAGAATCTATACCTGATGTTATATCAGTTTTACAAGATTGGTAGGTTTTTATCATTACAAATAGATTATGCTATAGGTCGTGATATCAAAACAGAATCTATACCCGATGTTATATCAGTTTTACAAGATAGGTAGGTTTTTAGCATAGAAATTGTGATTTCCAACCAAAAATTACCCCAAGATCACCTTAAATAATGGTGCACTTTCACCTGAAGATGACAATGTAGATTGTTGAAACGTCGTGTGTAATAAAACTAAGGAGTGGTATACCATAAAATTGTGTTCTGTTATTTAATGTAATCTCTACCCCTAAATGTCGCTAAAGGATTATCAAGATCACTTTGATTTAAACCATCTGGTATGTTTTGTTGTTAGGAACTAAGATAAATTTGTTTTACAATTTGGTAGATATTTATTACTCAGAACCCAATTATATTAATGCTGTGAAATGAGATATAAGTTTTACATATATACCTGGGGAAAATTAAGATATTTCATTTGTTTTTACAGGTGTGACAGTTGTGAAACTGTATTAAAAGGAATTGAAGATCAAGTTTCAAAAGCAAACCAATGTAAAGACAATAATAATAAAATCAAGGCTCAAATTGAACAGGAGGTAAGTTCAAAAGCTTTGACTTTTAAACATTTATGGCAGCAGTTTTTAGGATATAATGAACATTGTGTGTTTCATCTTTGAAAAAAGACAGTTTTGTGTGTTATCATATTCAACCTATTATCTTATCTGTTCTTATAGGTAATTAATATTAAAAAGACATTAAAAACATCCCACCAACAAGATTTAGATGATCAAATGATAACAGATAGTCAGGCATCAACATCTCAAGATAAACCAAGTAAAAAACAGTCCAAAACCAAAGGGTAGGTTCATGTTAATCCTAGATTTGATTTGAGCCTTATATGAAGGTAAATGTATTAAAAATCCTTCGACATTTTTTTCAATCTATTATTGCTTTTATCTTGATTCTTCAGAATACATATTACAATATAACAATTGTGGCATGTACATGAAAACGATTCACAATGACCTTATCTATCTGCATTTTATATTTTAGTTTACGTGGTAGTGGTGCCACTAAATCCTGGAAGTAAATACCAGAGATCAACAGTTGTACATATTGTAAAATATTGATTAAATATATTTAACATGTATTATAGATATTATTAAACAATTGGTTGCCTAGCAAGATACGCCCACTTTCCTGATACATTTTCAGGATATTAAAGGCGGTCACCTATCTCTGTCAAATCATATCAAAAATCTAATTTGTACAAGATATTGTTGATTAAACAAACACATAAACTGTCACCTCTATCGCCAACAAATTTTGATGTGTTTTTACTAAATCAAGGGTAATAACTCAAATTCCCTTGATCGGAAGATCATCAAATAAGAACTTGTCTAAGATCTCATCATTATAATTGATCACACCAAATTTCATATAAATCGGATAAAAATTGTGGTCTCTATTGTGTTCACAAACAAATTTTGATGCATTTTTCCTAAGTCAAGGGCAATAACTCAAAAAATGTTCATCGGAAGATGGCCAAATTCGAACTTGCCCAAGATCTCATCATTAGAAATATTTACACCAAATTTCATTTAAATTGGATGAAAAATAGTCTTTATTGTGTTCACAAACAAATTTTGACGCATTTTTCATAAGTGAAGGTAATAATTCAAAAACCCAGTCATCGAAAGATGGCCAAATTCGAACTTGTCCAAGTTCTCATCATTATAATTATTCACACCAAATTTCATTTAAATTGGACGAAAACTGTAGGATCTATTGTGTTCACAACCGACAAACGACAATATACGTCCATATTATAATGTGGTCTTATAAAAATTGTTTTGTCATTACATTTAAATATAACCAGTTTGATATTGCATTAATTACTTATTTATAACCCTTCAACTGAAGTAGCCAGTTTATCGGCCACATAATGACACAATATATACCCAAGCGGACAGTATAGTGGCCTTTACCAAGTGACATCAAGTAACGTTAGCGTCATGCTCTTTAAATTATAAGGTATCATAGGGAGTTCAGGATATACAAGGCTTGATTTTGTTTATGCTCAATGTTCAAAGGGTTAAGGAAAGCTGTCTGTAATCTTATGACTGAAAATTTAACAATAATTTTATTCTCGCTCCAAGGTCTTCAAAACAGTAATAAATGAAGAAATCACGCAAAAAATTTGCTGTGCTTGGTTCTTGCCATAATTCAGGAAGTATGTTTCAGGTTTCTTTTCACCCAAATGAATAAAATTTCCAATGTTATCTATTTTGCCCAAATAGTCCACTTCAATATTAACTAACACTGGAAGCTTTAAATTTTAGTATAACTATATAATCTCCTTTTTTACAGTATGAAATTTGGTCGATCATTCTACCTATCTTTATCAACACTTAATTGAATCAAAAACAAGAGTTTGAATTTCCACAACTTTTATTAATTGAAGCACTGTCATTTACAATGTTAATGTGAGAAAAGTAAAACTATCTAACATCAAAATTAGGGGAAAATAACTATAGGCTTGACTTGCCACTATAGAGAATATAATCAAACTTGTCGAATATTGGGTTAACACATTTTACTGATTTAAGATATCATTTTATAAAATCACTTATAATCATTTATAATGGTTCTCATTTGGAGTTTCTGAATAGTTTTGCCAATGGTTAGGCCAATTTCTGGTGCACACTTCTGACCAAACCTTAAACCAGTCTTAATTGATTAGCATCTTTAGGTACAAAATGTATCTTTATGCGATAAAAGAAAATTAAGTCCTAATAAATATATGTGAAATAAAACAGACCACAAGCCCACAATACCCAGTTGATGAATTTCTATATTTAAAAATTAGCTAAATATGACAGCATTTAATCTTACAAATATAATTTGTTCATCAGCCAACTCATACAATTTTTTTTTTTGCTTTAAATTTTTCCCCTAGCAAATAACAAATATACTGTTAGAGATTTGCATTATTTTTAAGTATGAGATATCAGTTGGTCCTAGTACCTGATCAGATTTAGAATTAAAACAATTCTTAAGATAATAATAGAAAAATACAGCTGCCAGAGATAACAGCAAACCCAATGATATGATGTTAAAATGAATGATACAATTTGAATACATCTAAAATCTACATCAACATATACAAATTGAGTACAAGGCACTACTAAACTATTGTAAACCTCCTATAAACAATTGCCAAATTAGGCTCAAATCCATATCTTTAGGAATGAATTCTGGAAAACTTTAAAGTTCCATTCAATTTCTCCCAACTTTTGAATGTTGAATTCAAACACAGTTTAATTGCACCAAATTACATGAGAATGGTTCAATAATAATGATTATGCAATTGCTCTCAACTTAAAATACCAATGATGAATATCACTAAACTTGCAGTACTACAAATAACCAGTATCTATAAAGACATGTATCTATTGACACAGATTTGGTATCATAGCTTGTTACATTGTCTTTCGCCCATACGCCTTAACAGTGGTATCTTTTACAAAATCATTGCATTTTCACATTAGGTATTTGATGCCATAATTCCTAAAATGTTCAATTCAATTATTCCCTCCAACCAACAGAATGTTTTTTCTTACAACACGAGAACTATAGTTTCCAATAAGATATACCAAACAATATATGATTTAAAACTTAAGTACACTTACTTAAACAATAAACATGACAATTGTTATAAAAGAAAGCAATGAATTATAATTGGAAAGCTTTAAAGATATATAAACAGCCACTTATAAACAAATTATCACCTAATAGATTTGAGGTAGTCATTATTTGAATAACTAATCTTTGTTTGAATTGTATGAGACAGAAATATGAAAATGTTCCTTAGAGTGATGTTTTCAGATGACTTCATTCAATGCTAAAAGAAATGAGAGCATTTGGTAGACAGTTAATCAATGATTTCAGATTTTTCTGAGATTGAAAAATCAAGAAATTAGAAATATGAATTTGAACATAAAATATTAGATTTGTCATTGACAAAAAGCTTTGAAAAAAGCCTAAAACGGTTGGTAACTGGACAGTCACAAAGCTTTAATTATGATTTAGACATGATTTTCAAGTCTTAAATAACAGATGAAAAATGTACAGTAAAATGATATTTCAGTTTACAAATTGACATGATGATTTTAATTGAGATGAATGTTTTGATTAAGGTGTAAATATTGGAAATTTTTCTAATTTAGTCTTCTCTTCCTCTGAATCAGCACGTGCTATAAGCAGAGAAAAGCAGAACCCAAGAGCTAGGTTCTGGATATAGACACCATCAAATGGTTTAGCTTCTAGAGGTGTAGTTGAGGAGGTTGCTTTACTCTCACCATAACCCTAAAAATATAATACATACTATGTTAACTGAAATCATGTTGAGCAGACAAAAACATATGTTCTGTTATCTGTTACTTTATGGACTTTGTCACTTTTTATTTCAATTTGACGAGTCAATGTCAAAACAAAAACATGTAAATTGGTGTTTCAATTGCAAATAATCATGATTTTGTAATAGAATTTGAAAGGCATACTGCCGATATTAATGCCGTTTACTACCATGGATTTAACAAGCAACATAAGAGGGCGTCACTAAATTTACTATTATCTATTTAAATGGAATCATATCTGTGTATGAGAAAGTATTGTTATATAAACTCACCAATTCACCACAAGTTGGACTGGGTCCCCAACTAATAACACTATCATCAGCTAATGCCATTATACTGCGATTTCTACAGAATACAAATTATCTTTCATTAATAGACAATCATCGGACACCAGGTCCAAAAAACATGCTAGCTGGTTCCCATACTACTGATTTATGCTTCAAATGCCTTTAATACCGTACTTCAAAATAATACTTGCAATAAATTTGAACTGTAAATGCCAAACCTATATTACTGACAAATTTTGCTATGGAATTTTTACTGTTTGAATTACCAAATTTGAACCAAAATGCTAACAAAAACAACTCACCCACAACTAACAGCTCTTACTTTCCAACCAGTTAAATCATGAACTAATTTAGGATACATAGCTGCTTCACCAGATACTTTAGTTTTACCCCACAGATATAGGGCACCTAAAATATTTATAATATGTATGTAACATTCATGTAGAATTTGCTCAACTGCAGGACTGTGTTCTTTACGAAGTAGGTCCAGCATTATTCTGTATCAGAAGTCTGTGTGACAGCTCAACCATCTCATGGCCTGAAACAGCCAATCAAATCAATGGCGTCTTTCAGGCAAATGGCAGAGGAAACTTTATAATTTCAATATTTGCTGATGGATCTAAAGTTTGCGATAAATAAACATAACTAATTGTTGACATTGATAAGACTTCAGAAACACATTTTCCTTAAAATCAAGATTTTGTATCATAAATCAATTTATCTTGGATATATCATCTAAACATTTCAGACTGAACTTTAAGAAATATTTGTGTCAGACTATTGTGTAGCAAGATTTGAAAAAATATACGAGAAATACTGTACCAGTTTCCCCTGTAGCTAAAGTGAATTGTGAGCCAGCAAATACTTGTAATGCTCCACGATTAGGTCCATCAAAGAACTTTACAAGACGAGGAACCATTTCATCTTTAGGGCCAGCATGTCCAAGTCTACCATAACCACCAAAGCCCCAAGAAAATACCCTATTTTTGGAGTCTCGAACAATCTAGAAAATAAGAGGAATCCTGCACCAACTAAAGATTGAGCACATTTTATATCAAAAATACAGATACATATAATTTAATTAAAGAAAAATTCTAATAGGGAAAATAAAACAATGCACTGAAACAAATTTCCTCACTGGCATATATCTTGATACTGGACCATAAAAGAAATAAGACTTACTGTATGATTGGTACCACAAGCTATGTCTCTAACTACTACATCTGTTATAGGTAGTACATGACCATCTCTATTCTTCTCAATATATACCAATACCTTCCTTGGTATCAATTCGCAACGAAATGACAACTTATTACTGGTGACAAAATATTTACCATCTGTATTATGACCTGCAATACAATACAGCTCTTTTAACTAATTTTTATTTAGTAGGTACAAGATTTATAATCAATTATATTCTTTTCAGAAATAAGAATAATCTCAGATCAATATTGATTATCAAAGCTATAGAGAGGTTCACATTTTCTGTAATACCAATAAAGATATGATGGGCAGAAACAGGTGTTCAATGTAAGACAAACTGATGATGAGAAGTTTTGATAACTTACCTAACTGCCCATACTCTGGGCACCCAAAAGTATACACACTGCCTCTAATATCTGATAATACACTAAAATCACCACCACATGCAAGCTTGCGTATTGGTGGGCCTTTATAATGTACCTATAACATAAATGCAAAGGTGAAAATGTGCACACATTAAAATATTTCACAGCTTTTGGAATCATTCATCATGGAATTTTCTACAAAATCAGAGCAAAAAAAAATTAAAACCTTTGAGTCTCTGCTGGCAGCGAGAATGAAATTTCTACAAGTACTTGCACTATCACTTTATCACAACTCTTAAGACAGTGTAGACCTTGTCAGATAAATAACAGTCACCTTTAAATTGTCTTACCCGTAATGGTAGATTGGATGTTGCATTCTGGTGACCGTAACCTAACTGACCATATTTATTTTCACCAACACTATAGACTTGTCCTTTCTCTGAAAAAATAAAAAAGTTTACAATGATTTTGTTGAGAGAATTATAGGCTTTCAATTAAAAGAATCTTGAGCAGTTTCAAGTCTTCTGAAAAATCAAATCTAATTTTCTACTTGCACAGAAATCAATTTTATTTAATTGGAATCAGAAACTTACAAGATGAGAATTTAATGTGGAAAAAATATTTTCAGTAATACATTTAGAACAACCAAAGATTCGAAATTACAATGGTTTCAATATAGATTGATCCACAGAGTACTACCTTTAAAGTCATATCTAAAATTAATATGTGACTGTGACCTTTGTATTTTTTGTAAAAATCATGTAGAAAGTTATGTCCATCTATTCAGTTCCTGTCCATTTGTGACCCCCCTATGGATTGACCTTGAAATAATAATAATGTTGTCAATATGATACTTTTGATATGTAAATATTATATCTATAAATGTGCAAAATGTCTTGAAAACCCACCTTACTTTAAATTAATGCTAAATGAAATTAAAAAATATGCATCAATTTTGAAAAATATAAGATTCAAAACTAAAAATCAATTAGAATTTATAAATGTCTGGAAAACGATACAAAAGTAATGAAATATTCATAAAGCTTCGTGAATGAAATAATATGTAATGAAATTATAACTAATTTATTGTACAAACTATATATATATATATATAATGTACCTTTGTTATTAAATAAACTAGATTGTTAAAAAAAAAAAAGAAAAAAAAAATTATTTAACTGAATTCCAGCCCCCTTCCATAGAATTCCATATGCATCATGTAATTGTAATAAGTACTTAAAGTAGACAAGAATCAAATGTTTAAAGGGCTCTTGCCTACAGGAAGACTGTATACACCAAAAGAAAAATCCCAACCCTCAGTAGGCCTTCTATGTACAGTATTGTAATAAATAATATTTGTAAACAATTTAAAAATGATCGGCAAAAATCAGGAGAAACAGTGAAAGTGAGCTATCGCAATGGCAATGCGGAATGCTTCCGTGAAAAATTATTTTTAGTGTAGGCTAATTTCTTCTTTATGTCAGGAGAGTGATTAACACCACTGTCCCAATATTCATTCTTATTAAGTTAGGTAAAAATCTTTGATAAGATGTAACGTGAGCAATGTGTTTTGACAAGAATTGTGAGATAGGTGTGTTCGATTCTTGTTCTGGACATCTCCAATATGTTTTATATGATAAAACACAAGTCATGAAACAGGGAAAGCAACACTAACCTAACATTTCCCAAATTGCTTTGCGGTTTTCGAAAATGAACCAAATGTCAAGGATTCTGAGATTTAAGATAGAAAATATACACTGTTTTGACGGACAAATAGAAAAGAATTTAGGCGAATCCAACAAAACTCAGGCAGTCAATGTTTACAGTAGTCTTGGCAGATTCAGAGACTCACATGAATTTTTAGGTTTGCTTAAAAAAATTGTTTTGTCGTAATTATAAGGCTACCCTAAAATTTTCATAATAAAACAAAAGTAAAAAATAAAAATTTTTGGTCATCATCTAGGTAAACACTTTCAGTATTTAAGTCACCCACTGGTAGCTTTGGTTGCCTATGGCGACTGAGCGAGTGCTAATTGGAGCCCCTGTTAAAAGGAACGTCTCATGTTGGTTGGTTAAATTGAAACAAATTTTTAAAGATATCACCTGTTAGAAATAATGTATGATTTCTCCCACAAGCTACATCAACAATATTAAACTGCTCTAAAGCGTCAACTTTGGTAGGTGTATCTCTTCTATTGGTATCTCCATGTCCTAACTGACCTTTTTCATTTCTCCCTGATCAAAAAATACACTTGGATTCAAAATAAAAGCAAATTTTAACAAATACATAGCTGTAACTCATTACTCTGCAGTGCATTATTACAAACAAATGTATTTCCACTGTTTTTACAGTCACATTTAGACATGCTCTCATGTGTTACAATACAGATGTTTCTTAATGTATATTGCTCATAGAACACAATGCATTCATACAACAAGCCACTTAGTCTGCCATTCTTTCCAACCTGTATTAATGATACAGTAAAAATATCGGAATGCAACAGACAGTTGGTCAAGATCAGGCATTTGCAACCTACAGCTTGCGGCCCGCGGCGTCATGTAAAATTTGAGGGAAATACAGTCTGTGAACAAATGCTTTGTTTGCTCTTGTCACCGTCAGTGTGACCCACAGATTGTCGCTACCATGATATCGAAATGACCTTGTGTAAAGCAGTGCTTTTACGTAAAATATGTGTTATTTGCAATGTACATTGAAATACGTTATTGAATAAATGACTTGAAAAAATTACATGTTTCTCATTGTTAATTTCATGATTCATTGATGGTTGGTTATGTGGACCACGGCCTACTCGCATCCCCGAAATGTGGCCCGCCAGGTTACACAGGCCTGGTCTAGATTAAGCACATCATCTCTTTATACCTACCCCAAGTTAAAACTTTGCCTTCATCAGTAATAATAGCACAATGACAAGAAGTAGGTCCTGCAGCAACTGTTCTTATCTTAATACCCATCAGATCTTTTACTCTGTGAGGTCCCAGCAAATTTGGTCCTCCTTTATTTTTCACTGAAAGAAAATGTTATTTATTTGATGTGTGTTTGTATTCTTTATTAGTTTAGTTTTGTCAATACATCAAATTTTGGTTGATTGGAACAGTAGGGTTTAGAATATTGCAATGAATATCTGTCAACCATTTCTGACATTTGCAGAAAGTTAAAGATACAAAACTTACCAGGATTTAAATTTTTAAACCACCCAACTTGAAATGATACAATTAAAATACATATGACATACTTCCTGCAGGGACTTTAGATCTTCCCAATAAATCCCAGTTTGTTCCACCACAAATTAACAATTCACCAGTTGTAAGTGGTGGATCTAATGTCTGAAAAAATTGTTGATAGGATATAGATTATATGGAACCACATTATTTGTGAAATACAAGAATTAGTACAATATTACAAATTACATATTATTCATTAATAAAATTTGATTTACTGACAGTACAAGAAAAACTGTTGGCAAATTTTACTTCTCCTGCAGTGTTCAATTATATTTAGCCTATTAACCTCCATACTATTATGTAAACAAAGAACTACAAAAATACAAGTGCATCAGAACAATACACAACACAACATTGAGATCATGACACGACATACTTTAAAGATTTGTCTTTGAGGAATAAATGATAATAATTAAAAACATTTATAGGCAATTAATCGGAATACAGGTTAGATCTTAGGTAAGGGTTTATTGATTTTAATAATTTTGTTCGTACAATATCAATCGCTGGTTCATCCTGAACATCATCGTCATTGTTCACAGCAGCTTTCCCGTTTCCCTTGAAATTTTCCTCTCCATCCAAGTCACTCTCGTCTGATTCAGCTTCTGTTTTCTTCTTTCTACGTTTCTTTGATTGTGTTTTAGAATCTCCATCGTTTTCTTGTTTCCTTCGTGGCATTTTTGTGTAGAAATTAAATTTAGCAACAAAAACCGCGAAAGTCTATTTTCATGCAATGACTGTTCTCTCGCTGTTACTCGTACGGTCTCACTCAACAGCGAGACTTATATTTGTAATCAGACAACTAATATTTCGTCATTTGGATTATAAAATCCGAAATGTCTATCACTAGCATAATCTGACATTATAAACTCATTTCTCACTCTAGCATCAGTAGCTGTAAAATTTTTATACAAATCTGAACTCACTTTCTACGGAGCCCCATGGGCGCAATTTTAAATACTTTTTTGAAATTATTTCGTTTTAACAAATTAGTTATTTCGTATATTATAGTTCTATGGTTAAAACCGAATGATTAATTCGTTTAAACGAATTATAATCAATTCGTTTACGAAATAATCAATTCGTTTGTATAGTATATAGGCCTATTTATTGATGAGATCTTGGTCATGTTCGAAATAAGTAAGTTATTGCCCTTGCGATTTAGAAAGAGTGTGAAATTTGTTTTGTAAACAAGCTAGCATCTCTGAAAGACTGTAAAATCAAATCAAATCACTGCATTTACAAACCTTCGCGATATAAGAAAGTTGACTCTTGTAGTCAATATATAAGATGGAGTTCGTAATATCCCGACCATTGCCCTCGACCTAGTAAAAATGCTTTAAATTTGGTTGCCAATATGATGAAAGCAACCATAATACGATCTTGTAAGTTGTTGGGACCTTTTTCATGTTTGAATTTAATGCTAATATAATAAGCCATTTTTGAAGTATGCCCTGATACAATCGACAATATTTTAAAAGTTGAGATTTGAGAGCAGTGTGATTTTGATAATTTGATTTGGTTTTCGGGGATTGGGGGGTTTTCGGGGATATATGATTATCCAAAATGTACAATATCCGCTAGCATTTTGAGTCTCTGAATTATGAGTATTTAATTTGTATTTTAGTAAGCAGTCTGCATTTAGCATTATGACTACACAACTATCAGGATGTGGCATATACAAGTCTATGTATAAAAATGATTTCGTATAAACGAAATAATTAAATCGTTTGAACGAAGTAATATTTCGTTATAAAGAAATAATTAATTCGATTTAACGAAATAATATTTTGTTAAAACGAAATTAATAATTAATTCGATAAAACGAAGTATTTTTTGTTAAAGTGAAATATTTTTTCGTTTAAACGCACCATATGATACTATTTCGTTTAAACAAATTAAAACGCCTAAGTTGCTAAGGGCCTCCGTGGTATTGCCACGTTTTCTTATAAAGTTCGCATCTTTTTTGTTGCGCCTCGATACTTTGTGAACAAAAAAAAGCATCCTTTCATAATAGTAGTAAGTTCCCTTTATACAGTGGTTTATATTTCTGGTATTCTGAACTGACATCCATGGTAGGCCTAATAGCAATAAGCACCTGAGCTATCCTCATTTCCGCTAGTAGCTATGTACGTGTATTAGGCCGTGGTCACACATATGTACGTCAAGTGTCCGTTTTTTCTATCCGTCAGTTGAATACGTAACGAAATCAAATGAAACCTATTGGATTGCATCAATGTGGTCACACATGGACGTAGGCCTACGTCGAAAAAAAATCGTATACGTCAAATTTTCCGCCCGAAAAAAATGATCTGACGTACGTTAAATCCTGAATATTTCTTCATGATGACGGTTCATTTCTTTGATACAACAGAACAATGCCCTATATGATAAGACTAATATGTCATATAAAGACTTAGATGTTGTCGAGAACATCTAGGAATTGATAAACAAAGCCATGGACAAAACATGCGTTACAGGTACAGCTAAATGAAAAAAACACTTTGAAGAGAATTTAGAAATTTTTCAATGAATCACATTTTAAGTTAGGAAATTCCTGAAGCGCTTAAAAGTTTTTAAGGACTTTGTACTTTAAACCATGACTTCAAAATGGGTAATCTGGCAGCTAAAATAAAAAAAACACTTTCAAGATAGATTTTTCATAGATAAAGGGCGACCCCCTACTAGACCTTTTCTGCTTGCATCATATTTGTGAAGAAAATTATTTTCAGCGGACGTAATGGTCTCTATTGCGGCTGCTGCATTAATATGTTTTTAATATTTTCTTTCTGTGGAGACCTGGAAAAGGCGTCCATTTCACTGACTAGTTGTGTGTGGTATCTACTGAAAGGTGTTTGTGTGAAGAATATGAAATCATTAATGTCTTACGGTTGTTATACATCTGGTTATCTAAAACAAACCGATAAAGTTTTTATACTCGCTTCTGACATACGGACTGATGTACGGAATGTACGTATGGAAACGAATGTGTGACCACCTCTATTCGCGAATCGTACAAAGTTTCGCATTCGTTTGACTTACACAATTCTGTCGTACGTATGTGTGACCACGCCACATCTATTTATTCTATAAGAGACTGTAAACATCACAATGTTAAGGGTCTGTAAATGAATCTCTCAACAAAGAAAATACAATTTTAACATTTTATTCATATGAGATTCAGATATCATCTTTACAAATGAGAGAAACATAATATAATTTTACAAGAAAAGAAATATGATTATGAAAGAAATTTCAACATGAAAGTTATGCAATATTCCAACAAATTAAATGCATTGAAAATCGAGTGGAGAATCGAAATTGATTAATTTAGTTGTTCAGACCAGCTAATAGAAGATAATAAGGTATTCCACCACCGTTCATACCATTTTGTTGGGAAAGGAGAAATGGCAAATAACGTCTGAAACCACCTTCACCTCTCGTGAGAAATAGAAGTGTCAGTGGGTCTAATCCGTTAGATGTGACTGTACCAGCTGTATTGGGGTAGTTACCGAAATTGTTCTGTGAGTTAGTGGGAATTCCTGGTCCCCCAGAAAATGTTGGTGTTGGAATTACTGAAACAGAAATGTAGTATTTTTAGAAAGGATGGTCTCTTTACCAAAAGTTATCAAACTATTGGTCTGACTCACGACTTGCTGGTTGATAAGATGAGACAAAAACAGATGGTTTATACTTGTAAAAGTTTCTTTGCTCTGTTATGTTTCAAAACTAGACTAGTAATCCGAAAACAATCAGCAGAGCAATGGAATCATGACACACTTAACTGGATATTAAAAGTTATGATAAACTCAGCTTCTGTGTGAGTAGTTTTTGAGTAAAATAACATCAACATTTAACTTTGACATTAGGCAAAATAATATACCAAGCTGTATTCAATGAAAAGGTATATTATTATGTATCATCTTTAACTTCAAACTGACTATTCTTACCTTGCGCACTGGCATACACCAAGAGTGCAAATAAAACACAAACTTTACTTATCATAATCATTATTCTGAAAATTAAAACAATACATTACAGAAATTTTTTAAATGAACTTTTGCCCTTTTTTCGTATAATGATAAAAAAAATTGTCTGAACAAGTTTCTTGATGGCCCCACCCCTTGATCTACGTTTGATCGACTAAATTGTTTTTGGTTTCCCTAAGTGAGGGATGAGAGTACACCATGGTGTAGTGGATTGAAAGTAAAAACAATTTTGACAAATCTACAAAACTGCGGGTACAAGAATATTGCAAGACAAAAAAACAAAATATAATTGTGAAGATTTGTCTTTAAACCCTTTAAAAGCACTACAATTATATTTGGCATTAATATTCACTGGTATACCAATTTTTAACAAAATTTAAATAAATTTCATCAAAGAATAAACAGCAAAACTTACCAAGATTGTCGTTAATGGTTACTATTTGAATCTTGAGGCTAGTATTGGAGAGATGATAATTCTAGATAAATTCAGCATCCTTATATACTATTATCCATGGTTATAAAAGTTCACATTCCAAAGTTAAAAAAAGGCAAAAATCACAATATTATGCATGTGTCTTGATTTATTGACAGAGGGTCAGTGACCAGACAAAACAACATGGTGTAGGCTGATTGTTGAGTTCAACTTTGTTTATCTAGAATCAGAGGATGAATTCCTTGATGAGTGTCCAATATGCTTACTCCTTCTGAATCATGTGATATTAGCTAACCTCTTTATTTCTTATTAACTTCATGTAGTGGTGTACAATGGCACAACAGAATCAATATATGCAACGAACTTTATTCTTTTAAATAAAATTATCAGCAAAAAAGACTGACATTATCAATGTTTATAGATCAGATCTACTTGGAAATCGACAATGTGGTTGTCCAATTAGGCTAAACTATTATACTGCATTTTGCCCTTTTTAATGATTTCAATTTCAATCCAACTCACCACTGGAGCGTTAGTTTTTAATAACATTGTGAATGTAAGTTAACATCTTTTAAGACGAGGTGAAAATCGAGCGATATTAAATGTGTTCTTGAACCTTTACAATGTAGTAAATTATTGTGGTTATAGATGAAGATTTATCTCTAAATTGAAATTTGCAAGTAGAACTGTAATCTGTTTCATTGCTAAAGTGGAAAGTAGACGACGACATCCCTTTAAGAAAAAAAATCTAAGAGAAACTAATGAAAAAGTGCCACAAAAAGTATAAAAATTGCGTTTCATTGCGCTATACAGGTGACAGGAAATGGTAAAAAGTATAGGTTTATGATTTATGAGTAACAAGAAGAATGTAATTGACCTCTATATAAATACTTAAGTTCACGTTCGTGTATACATGTAGATAGATAGAGTGATACAGACACTTTGCACCAATATATCTACTTGCATACACATGCGCTTTCTTTTTTAAGAGGTTAATTAGCCTGTTGATTGTAGATCAAAGGGATCTATAAAGGGATTTAAACGTGAACAACCTGTAACAAACGGGCCCCCGAGCGCTGATAATATCTCTCAGAATAACTTTTATTAAACCTATTATGCAGTATTTTGAATATTTCAGTAAATTCTACTGATAAAATTTTTTCAGACATGTTAGTTGATCAGATCAATGGAACTAAGACAAGATATCCAAAACCAGTTTCACTTCGATGCTACTATAGAAATATAACGTGCATAAATGACCATAAAAAGTATACAAAGATGGTGATTCTTTTACATAAGTAATCTAGATGTATGGGTCTTCAGAGCAATGCATAAATAACACAAAAACAGATTTTTATAGGACCGGGGTATTAAAAAAATCCAAATGTAGTCTATATAATTTTGAGAATTTTTACCAATTTTCAAATCATCGTCATTTAGTACATTTGAACTTGTGAATAAGGGTCATTTGAATAAGGGGCTACATTTTATATTATATCTTAAAAACTATAAAAGTACACTCAATGACATACATTTTAGCTGTGTCATTCTAGGCCTACATTGTGTATTTATATATAAATATATATGATATATATATATATTAACGGCTGCAATATGATTATTTATTATATATATTTATCACGTCCATGGTTTCGGAAGATGCAATTATAGCATCCAGTTTAAGTTTCATTTTCATTGTAGTACTTTGAACGTTATCTGTCTGTGCAGTATGTCATGGCTTTGGTTTCAATGGTTGTTATTTCAGTATTTCACGGCTATTAGTCCAAGAGCTAGCTACGGGTGATTATACCCCAAAAAAACCCAGAAGGTTTGATGATTTCAATGAATTAGGACTATGACAGACATTGAAAAAATGTACGTCAGCTGGTACAGATCCGGTTGGTGTGGCCCCTAGGGTATATGGTTTCAACAGTTCATAGCTTTCAAATAATTTGAAAAAATATCTATATAATATCAGTTTCCATCGTGTCCTACATAACCACTTACAACAAAACCTAATTTGTAATTCAACAGAGGTTAAGTAAACAAATCTGTACTATCTCTTCATTTATATATGTTCACAACCATACAACCTAAATAGCCAGGGCTTTCAAGAGATATTATTCTTCACGAGCGGTCTTATTTAGAGCCCACCTTTGATGAATGAATGAATTAATCAATATAAAAAAGGTTGCACATCAAGTCCCCATTCCGATTTTAAATCTTAAAACAAATAGGCCTACGACTCTTCCATTTCACCTGAAGATTTTGAAACATTTGTGACGAGAATGACACAGCAAATTCATCTCTCGCGATGGAAAAAGTAGGAGTGTCCTTTTAAATGATATAAATGAGGCGATAAAGTGGAGGATATCAAAAATAGACTACACAGGGTACCTTTGACTCATACTATCGTAGTCTTCCTACCGATCACAGTAAAGTCATTATGCCTTCTTACAAATATGTTTACTTCGATTTGAGGGGACGGGGAGAAATAGTGCGACTTACTTTCCTTGCAGCCGGAGTGAAATTTGATGATGTGAGAATTGCAAGATCGGAATGGCCCGGTGACCATAAAGCAGGTAAATAGGCCTATATGTTATATCATTAGACACTTACATTAAATTTGTCTATAGCCAGAGTAATTTCAGCTGAGAGGTAATATTTAACAACGTTATCAGAAGGGTGCATTTTTGTTTAGTTAGTTCATGCGGCGCATAAAAAGTGTTGAAGAGAAGAAAACATGATGTCTCTGCTGCATGTGTTACTTGTATTTTCTTATGCCGACACCAACGAGTCTAGAAATGGACTTTACCATGAGGTTTTAGTTTCATAAGATATTAAAGGCAAATGATTTGAGGACAATATAGGGTTAAATGTATCTTAGTTGTTCAAGAATGGGGTAGGCGTGTCCATATTTTTTTTAGGTCAGTTTTATCACTAGTCTAATTGATCTACATAGACCGACTTTTCAATGCGTTTCAAAAATCGACTCCGATTAAATTGGTCGATTGTCAATTCTGTAAATTATAACTTTTATCAGACATTTTTAGAAAAATAAAATTCTTCTCAGATCAATGATAATTCCAACTGAACATTCTGCTACATAAATATTGCTTAGGTATATCTAACATAAAAAGAATTTTTTTTTAAATATCTGTTCTAGAACAGAAACTAGAAGTTTCAACCCTATATACATATTATTGATTATTACTTGAAAAGGGGCGTTAAAAATTTCTAGAAGTTATAAGTATACGTAAATATTAAGATAACCTTATTTATACATGTACATACATGTATTTGAATAAAATCTTTATCTGATAAACTGATATACATGTACAATAGTCCAATTCTATATTTCCATACATTTGCGGGGTTTCCGAATTTTTTAGAATTAAAAGCATTCCGCAATAAATTGTATTGAATTGAAGTCAATCCTTTGAAACCAACCATGGCACCAACTTCCCTGATGTTAGAGAAATAAAAGTTGTGTATGATTATATAATAAAGACATAATAATTACGTAGATCAAGCGTATAAAGTACTTATGGTCATCAATTGAATAATTTAATGACTGCGATGTTAACATTTCAGCAACTCCATTTGGACAATTGCCATATTTGGAAATTGATGGAAAGAAATTTGCCCAATCCATTGGAATTGCAAGATACATTGCAAGAGAAAACGGTATGTCTTTAACAATTATATTTCAAAAGAAATAGATATCAGAGGATTGAAAATCAGAAACATAGATGGTACTCTATGACGCCCTTCAGTTTTAGCCTATATATATATTTCTAAGTTATAATATAACATGATTTTATTTATTAAAATTCTGTACAGGTTTATACGGTGACAATGCATTAGATGGTTTGAAAATCGACCAGGTTGTTGGTTTTGGTCAGGATTATTTCATGAAGTGGGCCACCGCATTCTTTGAACAAGACGAGGATAAAAAGGTAAATGAATTTTTGGTAAAATTGGTATCGAAATCTCTTCTGTTACTCAGCTGCCGCACAATCCTCCTTAAGCTGGGGGGAATAGGGTACATGCAGACTGACATAATACTGTAGCGTAAAGGCGCAAACATGTCTTGGAGGGTCGAGGAGGTTCTGGGAAAAAATATGAAAAATTTAATTGATTTGGTGCATATATTGGTTTCTGGGGGATCGAATGATCAAAACGAATTCTAGTAAACTATTTGTACTAAGGGTTTAGTTAAAATTGAAGAACCGATATAATTTTCAAAGTAGGCTATTGAAGACATTTTCAATTCATAATTTTTAAAAGTCAGTATGAGTATCCCATTGTTCTATTTAACTCATTATTCCAGATAGCCAATTCAATTGAGAAAACAAATCTGCCGATTGCACATTATAGTTGCATAGGATACTCTGCGTTGCCCTTTTTTTTAGTCTAGAATACATTTTTGGATATTTGAAAGTTCTTTTTATCAAAAAGATATGGAAGTATCATATGGTCCAAGAGTGGATCTCTGAGGAAATACCGCATTTAAGTGTCATTTGTATTGATTGAAAATACCAAGAAGACTTCTTGATTACGGTTCGATGAATTAGATTTACCTAGATACAACAAACTAGGATGAAATTAATATAAAAATGAGTTTATCAAGGAGCTAACTGTGGTCAATCGGATCAAAAGCCTTGTTAATTAACCCTGATCTAAAGCTTCAAGTTTATAGCGTCATCTCAACGACGAACATTCCCCACCTCGAACAACCTCTCCTCGCTCAGCACACAGTAGCTTTTGTTCGTTTTACAACCACCATGAAGTTGCGAATCGGATGATGGTCATATACAAAAGATAGCTTGCCAGGCAAGGTAATATACGCCCATTGGCAGCTTTGATTTTAAATAAAAAATTTGGCAGTACAGTAACATCATCAGTATGAAATATTCAACCTTCAGACATACACTTCTTTTGAACTTTTTGAGACGATACTGAATAATATTACCAAGTTTCATCAAAATCCGTCAAGAACTGTGCCTTCTGGAGTGTTTATGTGCTAAAAACGCATATTCAAGAACAAGGGCAATAACTCATACTAAATATTTTTCTATTTTTCTGATTTTCAATAGAGTTTATCCTTTGGTGATTACTATCACTCATGCCAAGTTTCGTCAAAATCTGTCAAGAACTGTGCCTTCTGGAGTGTTTACGAGCTAAAAATTAAACGCGTTTTCGAGATCAAGGGCAATAACTCATACTATATTTTTTTCGTTTGTCTGATTTTCAATAGGGTTTATCCTTGGGTGATAGCAAACACTCATGCCATGTCAAAATCTGTCAAGAACTGTGCCTTCTGTGTTTACGAGCAATTGTGGACGGACCGACGGACCGACATGGGTGACGGCAATATACGCCCCTCATTTCATGTGGGCGTATAAAAAGTGTTGTTTTATAAAGGTCATCTCAGGACATCCTGAGAAGAGTGAGAACTATACAGATAGTAGACAAAGTATTATTAGATTTGGTCCGATATATGAAACTATTTAAAAGTGATACTGTCTTATGACTGACTAATCAGAATTGTTTTTATATCACAAAGAATTTTAAAACAAATTAAAATAAAGTAAATAAGATGAGATAAATTAAAAGGCACCATAAGATAAACTGTAAATAAAAATATTTATCTTGTACTTACAGAAAGGACTTCAGGAAAAACTCAAGAATGAGCATTTACCTAAATTCCTTGGTGATTTAGAAAAATTACTGACAGAAAATGGTACCGAGTATTTTGTCAGCTCAAAGGTAATGAAACATTTACTTAACATCTTAATTTACACGTGTACAATTTCATCATTGAATCATAAAAGCAGGTTGCAAGTGATATATTATGATATTATTAACATCAGCTTGATCTTACCCCTACAATCATTAATGTATCTACCTGTAGATACATATAGTCGTTCGAGGTTGACGACTTTGGGCATGTTTACAATGCTGAACTGGGTCCAATCGACTTTGCTAATGAGCGATATTGGTTAAAGTGAATAACACGATATCACGCATTAATATATCGCGATAAGGGTATATTTCGCGATATTTATAAGGTATGGTTTTTACTTGTTTTTGAAAGAAAATTATCTAAAAAATATAAAAAAAAACAAAGAATACCTCTAAAAAAAAAAAGAAAAATAACTCAGTCTTGAATATCATAAAAAAACATCCGCTTCTACGATGGCTCACATACGGTGGCCCACATACGACATTTTTCACTTTTTATCATGAATTAAAAACTGTAATTTTCACCTAGTTAAAAATTAAGGGGATAATTCCTGTAATTTTGAATTAAAAACTTTTATTTTTACCATTGGTGATAATTATTTTCAACTAGGTGAAAATTAGGTGGTAATTCCTGTAATTTTCAATTGAAAACTTTTAATTTTGAACTTGGTCACAATTATTTTCACCCAGATGAAATTAGGTGATAATTCATGAATTTTGAATTAAAAACTTTTTTCGCCGTTCTTTACAAGATTCGTTGAATTGTCACTTAGGTGGAAATTAATTAAGGTTTTTAATTAAGAATTACACGAATTATCACCTAATTTTCACCTGGGTGAAAATAATTATCACCGAGGTGAAAATGATTATCACCTAGGTGAAAAATAAAGTTTTTAATTCAAAATTACTGGAATTATCGCGTTTCTTAATTCAAAATTAGTTTTCACCAAGCTAATAATTTTCAAAATTAAAATATGTTGTATGTGATCCACCGTACACTTCATATACATTATACGTTACATGTAAGAATTGTGTAGATGATCTTATCTAGACAAAAATTTTCAGATATATCATGATAAATACCATATATCACGGTATTTCATTCAGGCACCGCTGAAGGAAATCCTCCAACCTTTATCATTAGCCACCAAATGCTGGCATTGGTTGAAAATCCAGTAGCTTCCAGATATTGCCAGGCGCGAGGTCGACGAGGGTTATTCTTTAGCTAACTTGATGACTAGGAAGAATGTAGTTAGATAAAGTTTAAATTAAACCATAAGTTAGTTGGAACCTATATGATTATCTTTTCTCTTTCAGTTATCACTTGCTGATCTAAGTGTATATGATGTTTGTGAAAATTCTTATATCCAAAGTCCAGAAGTCTATAACAACTATCCCAAACTTGTTGCCAATAGAAAACTTGTCCGCTCTTATCCTAAACTGGATTCTTATTTATCTGAAAGAAAAGTAACTGATATCTAAAATAAATTTTAAAAAAAACATATTTTTTATTGTGCGTTGTTGTTTATGTCTAAACCACCATCCATTAAGATTGTATGGATGTTTGGTAAAAATGAATCAAAATAATAGGCACAATTATTAAAAATTTGGTATTTCTAGACCATTGTGATGATTTCCGCACAACAAACGGCATTACCTGCATTTAACCCATCCGAAAGGGGCCAAATGGGGTGAAAAAGGAGTATGGTCAATGAGTTAGAGGCTACAAACACGGATAGCTGATATGACAACCATCGTTTCTTGCAGAAACCTTGGTCATTCCCAACTCTTCAATGATAATGTGTATTACACTCTCATTAGAGATGTCAAGTATATGCCGAGTATTCAATCGTGGATCACCATGTAATGTTTTCCGGCATGTTTGCTGTTGATAGCCTTCCTGGGTGCGGGTGATCGTCAAGGCTGTCTGCCATGCTTGAATTCCGCAGCTCACTTCTTAAAGTGGATAAGACGAGGCATCACAACCTAAATTCCCAAAAGGGAGAACATGTCAGCATGTATCGGAGTTTCGGGTTTTTAAAATCCAGTTTTGGCCATGCCATGATGGGTAAGTTCACAAAATGGTCTGGTACAAAGACAATAATAACAATTCAGTAGCAGCTCTTGTGTCAATGATTCAGTAAATGATTGAACTTGTTTTTGAGTTTGTTTCGATCTGATTGTGATATCTCTTTTGGGCTTAGAACATTTCTCATCTGCAGACAGATGACTCCTGTCAACATAATTTCTAGGATAACAATTTTTTTGCTTATGACATTCAACTAAACCAAGCCAATTATCGAACTGTTTCCCTCTGATAACTATATAAATGTCATCAAAATCGGACAATCTCAATAATCCATGGTATCCGCAATCAATTTTGACCGAAAATGGAAATTTGAAAACTCCTTGAATGGCTTTTGATATAAAGATAATGTACAAAAATTCATAAAAATCCATCATGTGGTTTCTGGGAAATTATAACTTTGTCTTTCAACAAGCTGGCCTGCAGCCGGTTATTCTAGAGCTACATGTCAGACGTCATCATTGGAAACTTAGATGATATGGATTTTCTACGGAGCCCCGTAAGGCGCAATTTTCCGTACTTATTACTTCATTACGGTTATTAAACATATTTTCAAGAAAATTATCCTACTGTAAACAAACTCATAAGATAGTGGACCACAGCCATATACGCCCACCACGGCATGGGGATGGTAAAAACGAAACATCCATTTTAAGTTTCATCAAAATCGGTTGAAAACTAAGAGTAATAGCATATTCAAGATTTTAAGGCAAGGGCAATAACTCTGCTTCTAACGGTCGAAAATAGCTCGAATTCGAACTTGATCTTCGTTTTATGAATAGGTATACACATACCAAATTTCATTTGATTCCATCAAGAAATCTAGTTTTTAGAGCGTTTACAAGCAAATGTTGACGGACGGACGGACCATCGTTTCATGAATATGTATGCACATACCGAATTTCATTTGATTCTTTCAAACACTTTTTAGCGTGTTTACGAGCAATTGATGTTGATAGAAGCACTTACTGTATAGAGGTGAAAGGGCGATAACCCCTCAAAACTGACATAAGAGGCCTAAATCTTGAAAAAGCCTTAAATTCAATCAGAAGTAAACTAAACTTTCTCAAACCTTGCGAATTAGGTCCAATAACACCCATTTTAAGTTTCATCAAAATCGGTTGAAAACTAAGAGAGTAATAGCATATTCAAGATTTTGGGGCAAGGGCAACAATTCTGCTTCAAAAATAGCTCAAATTCGATCTTGATCTTCGTTTTATGAATATGTATACACATCTCCAATTTCATTTGATTGCATCAAAAAATCTAGTTTTTAGAGGGTTTACAAGCAAATTTGGACGGACCAACGGACGGACGGGGGTGCCGACAATATACGTCCACATAGAGAGATGTGGGCATATAAAAATGGTTTATTGAAAGAAAGTGAGGAACTATCAATATAGATTCCTTGAAGACTTTCTTGAATACCATAAAAAATTTGTTCATTTCATTTAAATAAAAAATATTAACATGTTATTAAAGTAATAAATAATCTAATAAATTAAATATCACAATAAGAAAAATTTGCATTTTATATCATTCAATATAAATGTAGAAATAAACTATACTGTATACAAAAATAATAATAACTAATATTAATCAAACAATATCATAAAGAAAAATACATTAAATATAAGAAGTCAACAACACTTGAATGTCTATGGCACTACTACTCATATCTCTGTCTATTGTGTCAAAAAATAACAAAATCGATTTAAGAGTTTATAAGAGATTATAAATATAATCATTGGAAGTTCTGTACTTTTTCAGTGCTTAACTTGACATATAAAACTAAATCTGAGGTGTGAGATCTATATTTGATAATCATGCCAAAAAGTTTTGAAAGAATACATATATACACAATGTAATTCTGAAACTAAATTCTGTTTTAATTCAACAAGACTTTTTTTATTTCATGATCATGGTTTACTATATAATAAGTTATTGTTAACACTGAACACTAAGTTCAGATATGCATCATATCCTATCCCTGCAACAAAACATCAAAATTTGCTGTCTATGGTCCATTTTTATGAATATTCTCCTCTAAATACTAAGAGAGATTTTGTTAGAGCTCCAGGTCTATCTAATAAAATACTATGCCCAGCACGTTCTATAATATCTATATGTTTACAATTAGCTAACTTTTTATGTAAAACTTCAGCACCACTGACATCAATAACCTGAAATAATAAAAAAAAAATTCATTTATCAATTATTTGAGATATTCTTTTTTTTCCAAAATTTCTGTTGACTGGTGGTACACAACATATTTCTGTAGTTTTTAAATATAGTTATTTTAGGTGTACATCAATACACTAGTAGTTCTTGTGAAATGTCAAGGTAAAACAAAGTTGTCATATAAGAGAACATCCAAAGTATAAAAGAACCAATAACAGTTATCTACAAAAATCATTGAATGCAGATGATTAATTTAAAAGGTTTCTTCTCTGACTAGGAAAATCTTAATGAAAATTCAAATTCACAGCATAAACCGGCCTGTAGCTGACAATCCTACTTGCTACCAACAGAATTATCCTACTGACACTAGTGTTTAGTGCTAAGGGGTATTGAGAGAAGTATTAATTCAGGTACTAGTTTATAGTCAGGTATAAATACCTCATCATGTTTACCCCATATAATCTGTGTAGGACATTTTATTTCACTGGCTTTATCTTCTAATAATGATGTACAGTCTTCTTTAGCTAGAGCTTTAAATACTGAAATAAAGAACCATCATTTCTGTCATATATTGTGTTTATTACCTGCATTCTTGACTATATTTGGAAGTTGACATGAACCTGGAGCTACTTGTACAATATTTCAGTCAGCTGATATAGTTTAATTTTTGATTTACTCAAAATAGACTCACAAAATAGCATTTCATATTATTGAAAAAATAGGAATTCTTGAATACAAATAAAATAAAATAAAATAAGAAAAAAAAAACATTGGCTTACAGCTTAAAAAGAATTCATTTTTAGGTTTTCTCAGATCCATCAGGCCTTGTAAGACCTGAAATAATGAATATTATAATATAATCATTATCAACTGAAGCATCCATAATTCAATAATAATTGATATACCACAATTACATTATAAAATTTGCTTTTTATAATTTTACTCATTCTAATTAAAAAGGAGATATGTAAATATTGTAAATACCTGTTTATTTATAAGTTGTTTATGATAAACAACACAATCAAACATTTTCTGACCTTCACTAGGTGTTACAGGTAATAATATTAAATCTTTATATTCAACATTTTCAATCCCCTTTAATAATGCTTCATTAGCTGTCTTAGAAAATATACTTTCTTCTGGTGTTTTCACTGCAATATTATATTGATAAGACTTCTTTATTTCATAATATTGTCTTGTGTTGGTGAAATAATAAGACTGTTGAAGATAGCTTCCTTACATTACATATCCAATTTAGTCTTAGAGACAAATTTATTTCTACATATTGAGCCTAGAACGTAATAAGATTTTGTTGATATTTTGCAAATGCTATTATCTTTAGTAAACCCTTTTTATAGTCAAGAGCAAGGTATTTGATGTTTTATCATCTAGTTTCATACAGCATCTGTTGGTATAGCACTGATGTCAAAGACCCTTTTTTTGTATTGAATATTTGTGACTTCAGAATGAAAAACTTTGGGAATATCTTACTTGCCGGACAGATTAATGATAACCTATCCACTAGTTCAGGATATTCCATTGTAAAATGACCAACTATTGCTCCACCAAGCGATGTACCAATTAAATGAAATGGAGATTCATATAGCCCAACTAATTTTACAAACTAAAGTAACCAAAAAAGGACAAGAAAACAAGTTTGATACGTTTAAATGAAGTTTTGTTTGTATATTCATTTTGTAGAACCCTCGCTTTGAATAAATTTGTGTTCATAAAAATGCAAAAGGCCTACATTATCAAGTTTGGAATGTATTTTTACTCAAGGCAACAGTTTACATGGATTGGATATAATCACTTTTTATACAATTTACCATCAATTGTGATTCGAAAGATAGAATAGGTTTTTTGATTTTTAATTATCCATAAAGGAAAAAAAACAATTTTTTTAATCCAAAAAAATACTAATCAACTTTGAATAAATAGTAAATAACTGCTAGAAATACTAACCCTGTGTATATGATGTACCATATATTTTAATCCTATTTCATCATCTGGCTTTGGAGTAAATGATGAACCATGACCAGGTAGATCCATAGATATTAAATGAACATCTGAAGGCAGTCTCTATCAATATATAATAATAAGCTGTACAGTTCAATAAACAGAACTGTTTACTCTAAAAAGTAACATCATGAAACTTCAAAGAACCCAAATGCAAAAGTGACAATTTTATTCATTGGTTAGATGTATGTATGTAATTTCTAGACAATTTTAATTCAAAAGGTAAATTTTGACTAAAAATCTTTAAATGATACCTTATAAAGGCCTAGAAACATATCTTTACTGGCTGAAAAACCATGTATCATCAAAATACTTGTTTTCTTGGGATTTTTTGAGCCTCTCTCACCATAACAATACATATAATTCTCATCACCAACAAACTTTACTGACATTCCACATCTTTTAGTCTGTAATCTACACAAAAACAATCAAATACATTGCAAATCTGAAATATTCAAAATAGGCAATCAAATTTGCAAAAAAAAACATTAGTAAACTAATTCCTGAAATTGATATGCAGGTATGTCTGGGTAGGCCAACTGTCAATTAGTTGAAACAGACTTTCCAACTCATAACAAGAATACCACATAAAAAAATCAGTAAGTCACAGTAGCCGATGTTAAAATGAGATGGAAGCTGTGTAATGAGAACGTCAGTCTGAAGAGATTGTCCAATGAGAGTATATCAAGGTATGTACGAGGCCTAATGAAAATCTATTGCGGTATATAAATTTGTGAAAGGAGAATGAATAGCATAGCCTTATAGGCCTACTTACTTTAAAAGTAAAAACATGATATGTTTAGGACTTGTATAAAATAGAAGTATAGAACCAGTAAATATTGTAGCGAGTATGGCTGATGATGTGTATATAATATAGGACCACATGATACTTGTTTTCTTCTAAATTATCTATTAAATTCTGAAATAGAAAATGCTAATTATTGCAATAGTTTTATGCTTAGCCTTAAGGCTATTGCAATAGGCGTAATATAAGATTCTAGAATATTTCTTGTTAATAACAGTCCTAGGTAGGATTAACTTTTCCATGAAGAAAGATCTAATTTGAAAAATTGTGGCTAACAAATCGAATATTTTATTTCATGTTTACTACTAACATTAAATCGTAAGAACTGTCTTTTTCCTTCCCATAAACTTTATTAGATTATCTCTGCTAGAGACCTGAGGACCTTTGAACCGAAATATTTATGGATCCCTGGTAAAAACAATCGTATAGACGAAAATTGTTCTATTGTCCAGTCTTTAGAAAGTCATTATAAATTCTTTAGACACGATTGTTGAGCAAATTTGAAACGATTTCTTTTTTGTTGCTCACGTACAATAATGTAAACTTCCGGTTAAATAAAAATAAAACACCGAGTTTTCTTCTTAAGAAAATATATCAAGACATTGGTGAATCTAGCAATCGATTCAAACGTAGGAGGTATTTAGAATCTTGAAGCATCACTGCAACCAAACTAGCCACAGACGAAAGTGCTCATCTATCTTTAGTACACTAACATAATCTGTAGGGAGTAAAGTAAATGCGCGCTACACATGGTCCGTGACATGGCATGGTGATGTCTGCCTATGACGGTCGTGACTAGCCCCTCTGCAATATTTCAACAACTCAAAAGCTCCTCCCTGGACCAAAAGCAAAGTCAAATTTATTACCTATTTCTAACAGTTATAAAACATAAAAAAATACAAGGGCGTGGATATTCTAAAAATTCATGAAATGTCAGCCTTTTTTGATATACAGTGGTGTAACCTATTTTCGTGGATATAAGGATTCAACACCGAATTTCGTCGAAGTTAAAAAAAAGGAAAAAATTTTTATGTCTTAGAGGTTTCCTCAGATATTCTACCAAATAATTAAAATTGGTTTACTTCGATTTTCTTTATGAATCCTTCACTTTTACCCATATTTCATGAGCAACCAACTCGGCAACGGCGGCAGAATGCCTCACCTATTTTCGTGTACAATTTTTGATCTATAAATAAGTCTAAAAACACGTTGTATGGATACCGGGTGGTATAATTAACTTCTCTTAGTATTTATCTTTAATATCAATTCATTATAATTAGTGACAATTCCTTCAAAGAACCATGATTTAAAAAAAAATTTTTGACTGACAAAATAAGATACGTAGCGTGATTTATTGCTGAAAGTCACTGAAACAACATAAGAATATGGTCCACTTTGTGTTCCATAGAAATTTTCTTCTGACACAGAATCTGCTGGTTGATCACGTGACTTCATTCGTTGGAATATATTCTAGCAGACGACACTTGGAATTCAAACCAACGACTACCATTCGACTACCAATCAACAAGAAATACCATGATCAGAACGAGTTTTGAAGAATGAAGGAGACCGAGTAACTCACGCCACACCATCCAGGGCCGAGTTTCACCGCCATGTCATTCGACCCGACCAGATCTAACGAGGAATCAACAACCAAACCAACAACACCGAATCATCCAATTTGATCCAATCCAACTACCAACTACTACGACTACCAACAACTACCTAGTTTGTGATATCAGCACCCGCTGGAAGCGAACGTTAACTTGTCATCTACCTACCTACCTACCTACTTACTTGGAATTCTGATATTCCCAAATACTGCTTGGGATTATAAGGAAATTCGGCCGATAAAAAATGGTGACGTTTGGTAATAAGTGAAATCCGCCATTTTGTATTTGTCGAAGTATACATTAATACATTTTACCTTGCTTGAAACTACTGGATTCAGTCTACTAGCTGATATTGTAGAGAAAACCCATGTTTATCAAAACAAACTAATGCGGAGGTCGCGCAAGATCGCTCATGTAAATTATTAATCCTTTCTGGAAATCCACAAATAATAGGTTTCCATGAAATTAGGTTACTTGACTGTAATCCTTTCTTTCAGAGACATATTAATCGACTGAGTAATTTGTAATGGATTTTGTCAGGTTCAGATAAGACCGTGTTAATATGAATTGAATTTCTTGCAATGAAACGAAAGTAGAAATTCCGCCATTTTGTTTACACCAAATTAGCATACATCCCAAAAGGTCCTGTTAGTGTTGCTATGAAATTTAGCATCATACGTTTGTATAAGAAATCCGTAGGGGTGGGGAATAATTACCAATTGTCACAAATGGCCAAATAATGGTCATTGTATGATTATGTCGCAATGTAGGTTTTTAATGTAAAATGGGAAATGTTTGAATTTGTTACGTATATATGAAATGTTATTGCTTTGAATAAATGATTACGGTACAATAAAATCGTTTATTGTCTCCCCTGTATAAGATTTCTTGTATACTGAAGATAGTTTGTTCGCATTCCGACATATTTATTATTATTTATGTCTCCAGCGAGTTGTATTTTATCTCTGACTTAACCAATAAAATTTTGTCTCCAAGTTGATTGCAAATATTGTCACTGAGTTGTATTTTGTCTTTGAGTTAACCAACAAATTTGTCTACCGAGTTGACTGAGCACCTCAATTGCAAAGACATTCTATCTATGATCAATGATATATAAATTATAGCCTATTTTGAATATTTGTGAAGAGAAAAGAGTATTTTTTAATTTGTAGGCCTGCAGTATATTTACAGAATGTCTCTTTATGATGATCTGGATATGGACTCTGGGTCCGGTGGGACAAAACCAGTAGTTGGTAAGTTAATTATGGTACTTTAATTGAATTCAATATTCACCAAGAGTTCTTTTATTGCAGGAATATTGTAATAAACATGCTTATATTTTGTATGTATGGAAAACAATTCATTTGACTAGTTTGCAACAGTGATTCAAAATTATTTTACTTTAAGCTGGATGGTCTTCAAGTTTTAAGTTAATGCAGTCTCAGTTACAAGCTAAGAAGGCTAACACACAATCAAACAAGGTAGGCATATTATCAATGGAAACAATCTAAAACATAATTTGCAAACTATATTAAAATATCCTGGTACTGGTACCAATAGTTGATTCCACAGCAAGAACCATTTTAAGTTGACTTGTTTCAGACAGAATGACAGAAGATTTTATTGATCATAATTACCTTTATTTTAACAGAAAGGAAGACAGAGCACCACATTGGCCCCAGTTGTAGATTTAAAGAAGAACATTGAGTCTGACGATGGACTTCATTTCAATTTATTGACTGGAAAGGTTTGTTACTGTCTTGTGTTCAGGACACTTCTTGTTACAGAAAAATAGAATTGATATTCATGTACATGAAAAATTCAGAAGTTAGTAAGACTAACATTGGATTGAATGCAAAGGTTTCAAAATCATTAGAAGTAACATTTGACATCATTACAATATTTATCATGAAACAACTTGTCAACACCAGTTGCTTATAAATTCTATATCTGTCTTATCATAATTTTGATGATTATTATGTTGTTTTCAGCTTGAACAAAGAGCCGTAGGATCTAGTGGTCAGTCTCTAGCTAGTTTATCATTTATACCTAATGATCCTGTACCATCATTAACTGGTGTATTAGATGAATATAATCCACTTAGACCTAATGATTATGAAGAAGTAGTAAAGAGAAAAAGAGAACAGAAAAATAAAGAAAGAGCTGCTGAGAAGAAAGAATCTAGGTAGGAGTGTGTTTTTTGTCAGACAGAGCTTCTTAATAGAAATTTCTTAACATCTGTCTCAAATTACTTTGCCAATAGCTCAACTATTTCCAATCAAGTGGTTTAAAACTGAGGGTTAATTCTCACTAGCTGTTTACATCTTTTCTGCTCTTAGGTTGTAATTCTTTATAATTAGTACCCAAGTTAGTAATACAGTGTAAAATTTTATTGGTGTTTGATTGAAATTAAAGAGAAAGTCCCAAGGTTTCAGTTTGATAATATTTCATTTCTGGTATTTGCAGGAGAAGCTATTCTGATCGGGACAGAGATAGGGACAGAGATAGGGATAGGGTGGATAGACGTGACAGAGATAGAGACAGAGATCGTGATAGAGATAGAGGTCGTGATAGAAGTAATCGTGGTGATAATAATCGTGATAATGACAGTGAAATGGATAGATCACGTAGGAGAAGAGAAGAAAATGAAGATGATTATGAAAAGCCTAAGAGAGGTTGGTAACCATGAACAATTTACAAGTTACAACAAATCTTGAAAAATTATGTTTCTGTTTTAAGTTGGTCTGTTTTCCCATTCGTTCTACTATACTATCACTTTTTCCACTAATAATTTTATATGTATATATATAGTTAAAGGGACAGGTAGGCCATTTTTTTTCACCAATCATACTTAAGTTTCAGAAACTGGAATTTTCTAGCTGCGCTAATCAGTAATAATGTTTACAGCTCACCGTCGAAATGCGTGTCAAGAATCATGTGATTTTTGTACATTTCTAGTTCTTCTGAAGACTATTTACATATATTCAAGACTAATATCAACCCCCACAAAATTTATTTTTTGATTTAATTTATTGAGTGATTTATTTCAGCTTCTATGTCTGGTGCTGCTATTGCTCCACCCCCATCATTAATTGAAGAAGAACCTCCTGTAGATTCAGGTATGTTCATGTTATTTAATATTTGAATTGCTTTATCTTATCACTTTAAATAATTTGGATCTTGAATAGCTGTATATGTGAGAAAAGTAGCCAACTAATATCATTATGGTATTGCTAATACTATTTATTGATAATTTGATTGTAGGGGGAGGAAGAAGTGGATCACCACCTATTAATATGGCAATGTCTATGGGAATCAGGTGAGGCTCATTTTACTTTATAACAATACACGATGATGATAATATAGTGGGGTTGACCAAAATGTACTGATTAGATTGATGACACGGTTGTCTCCTATTCTCTATCAGAATTGAAAGCAGATAGTGCCAAACAAAGAGTTACATCTTAAATTCTATCCATGAGCAATGTTTTAATGCTAATCCAGACATTTTGTTCACTAAGGATTGAGTTGGAGTGAAAACAGCCATGTACAATGAAATATACTTTATATATAGTTACTCATTTATATGTTTACAGTAATTCGGTAGCCTCTAAGATTATGGCTAAATATGGGTATAAAGAAGGTCAAGGTTTAGGTAAAAAAGAACAAGGAATAAGTACAGCGTTATATGTAGAGAAAACTAGTAAACGTGGTGGAAAAATTATACATGAAAAAGATGTTCCTAAAGGTGGGTATCTCAAGTAAAGTCGTGTTTTCTTTCATACAAGCTGACATTCTACTTCTTTGGAAGCTTCATTGAAATATTAAATTATACATCATGGTACAAGTTGTATGTGATTCTGAAAGAAAAGTAGGGTATGAAGGGTGCTCATTAATGTGACAAACAATTAAAGTATTGTGGAAAATGAAATCAATATTCAATTACAAATCTTAACAGACCAGGCCTCTTTGTGCTGTAGCAGAGATATTGAACCTTATGTATTGAATGATGATGTTTTCCTTGTAAGTACTCTTATCTATATCATACATTATTTCAGATATACCAAAAGAAAATACACCAAATACTAACTTATTACGCAATCCATCTAAAGTTATATTATTACGTGTAAGTATATAGATAAACATTTATCAATAACTCTTTCAAATATTTTACATCATTGGATTGTGATTAAACAGATTGTAGTTGTTTAAATAAATGCTTTCTCAGCTGATCAGCTGCACATAATGATAGCTTTATTCAGGTATTGGTAATGAATTTAAGTCATAATTATTGCAAATTTTAATGTTTAGATGTGATGGCAAATAGCACAGAACAAACATTGTATTCTGTGTCAAGACCATGTCCAACATGTTTAATGTGTATATATTATAGAATATGGTGGGACCTGGTGAAGTAGATGAGGATTTAGAACCAGAAACAGCAGAAGAATGTAGTAAATATGGTAAAGTGTATAAATGTGTTATATATGAGGTATGTAGGACTGTAGTCTGAAAATGTTTTAAAGTTGCATCCTTCTTAAACTAAGTTGTGAAATGTTTAGATAGTTATGTGACTTCATATATTCTCATAATATAATATCATTAGAGATAATATAGTTCTTATATACAGAGAAAACATATACAAAGCCACTGAGTAGATTATTTTATACAAGTCTTGATATCCATGTCCAATATATTTTTTAAGATGCAAGAAGTAGAGGAAGATGAAGCTGTTCGTATATTTGTAGAATTTGAGAGAATGGAATCGGCAATTAAAGGTAGGAAACACTCTAGTCTGTGCACCTGGTAACTGCAGCCAAAACTAACAAGTTGTGCAACAAAATACTGATTTTACTGGCACTTACTTCAAGACATTGAGTTTTGTTCTAAGAGAAACTTGATAAGCAACTTTCATATCAACCTGTTTTAAATCTTTCTGCTGTTTTCAATGAGGCAAAGTGTCACAATAATTTATTGGAATGTTTTCATTTTGTGATTTGGAGTAACATCAAATGACAAAAAAAATACAATTGTATAATTAAAGCTTATAGATTCGTACAATCTAGTCAATCTTCAGTCTGTTGATATTTTTGCATGAGAACTTATTAAATAATTTGTCTTTTTAGCATTGGTAGATTTAAATGGAAGATATTTTGGAGGTAGAACTGTTAAAGGAGGGTTTTATAATCTAGATAAATTTAGACGCTTTGATCTAGCAGATCCTGTGGATTGAACATATGAAAAAATTTCGAATGCCAATCAAAGTGAAGAAAACTAAGCCTAGGTTTTTGTAGGAATTTGTGATCCATCAAGCTAAGAAATTTGCACTTCAACTAGTCTTTTCATTGTGGGTAATTTTGGTATCATTGAGAGTAATTTTTATCCATAAATACAAGATAATCTAATGAGTAAGTGTATACATGTGTTTATATGTTGGTTTCTATTCATACAATATACAGTGAACATTGGAACAAAGTAGCAAATTAATGTCAAATTAAATTTGTAAATATTATGTAAGAAATATACTACATATTAAAAAGATCAACAAATGTCTTAAACAGATGTTAGATGCACCGTAGAATGTCATAGATTCTTAGAAAGGGAAGGGAATCGATCTACCATATGTTTTTTAGTCATTAATATTTCAGTTTCCTTCAAATAAACAAATACATGGGGGAAAAAATACCATAAAACATTGTAAAATATAATTTTTAATAATTGACAACTATAATTAACAATTTCTATAAAAATAGAAGAACACCATAATAATAGGTAAATGAACACTATTTACATCCATATAATTATGAAAATGATTATTTTGAACTCTAGTAATGGCCAGTCTGTCCTGCTTTTGGACCACCAATGTACTAAGCTAGTATTTGAAAAAACATACTGATTTAATTTGATGGTATGAGTAGCATTGGGAAATAGTAATACACTTATTTTGAGCAGAAATTGGTTGAAAGAGAATGTCAAGACTACTTAAACATTTACTGCTGTTGGGGCCTGTTTATATCATGCCATAAGTACAAAGACTTTTTGGCTTTCAGAGGATAACAGGCTACACTGTAGGAATATAGAAACAGCCTTACCATTACCATTTAAATGAAAATTAGTATTTTGAAAACATTTTGAGCTGCCAGAAAACAGATAATTTTTGCAGTTGTAGCGCATTAGAAATCAATGGTTTTAAAAAATTGGTGTTGATGAAACAGCCATACTCTCGATACCAAGTTCATCGGTACCTCTGCGGATTCTGAAGTAACCACTCTCACCCCACTTTTCTCCCCAGCTGTTTTTAACAATCCAGTATTTAACCCCTTTCTCTGTTCCATACCCTACTACTAATACAGCATGGTTGGTGACTTCAAATGGATTATATCTATCAGTAAGGCCAGTATGTATAAAAATACCAGATTTATAATGAAAGAAATCATCAGTAACATTAAAACCTACAACTACTGGACCATGTCTATATATTTCCATCTTCATTAAGGCATCATTACATCTGTAATACAAAATCAATATCTACAGTTCAAATACAACATCTATAACAAAAAAAAAGTATCTACTTTTACACCCCAAAACAAAATCTAAAAAAAAACTGGCATGAACATCCTCTGCAATACAAAATCAACATTTAGATCACAAAAATGAATCAATAATAAAATGGAAATATATTTATCTTTTGAAAGATTTTTTTCACTATTAGAATAAGTATTGTTTTTACATACCCTCCATAGAATCCACCAACATATCTATAACTAGTAGCATACTGACGTTTACACGTTTTATCTGTTGAACAGGAATGATCTTGTCCTTTATATGGATTACATTTTTCTTCTACTAAACCAAAATCTTCAGCATATTTACCACCAATTAGATAGGGGAAACCACCGGCACATCCTAGACAAATAATAGTTGAAAGTTAACTCAAATGTAGGCCACAGCATTGGGACAATATGTAGTATTTTTGTGTTGGCTTGCTGCTTAATCTGGGTTGGGAAACTATGGGCATCAGATTGAGTCAAATGTAAATGGCAATGAACAGAAGATTGAGAAAATAACTTTATTCTATCCCATATATATGACAATCAGCCAGTGGTTAAACAATTTGAGAAAGGTATGTAGAAGAAAGGGGATTTCAGTTTGAAATGACAATCTGTCAATCTTTATTGATGTGCTGTAACAAAGGCTTGATGTCAATGGACTCCCACACCTTTGGTGTATCAGGAAATACACTATATCTCCCCAAACTTAGCAATAGCTACACTGTCACAGCATAAAAATTAATTAAAATCAGATCATTACCTTGTGAATATTCACTACATTCTACAATATCTTGTGGTGAGAAAACAGGTTGTAGTGTATTGTTGGTCATTATTCTTACTCTAGCTTCATTCATGGCCATTGAGGAGAAAGCATAACAACTTCCACAACTCTCTATAATAAAATGCAAAATATTCAACAGCCCACAACAAATAATTAATTATTAACAAAAGGTATAATCAAAAGATAGCTTGCCAGGCAAGATAACATACGTCCACTACCAACTAGGAATGATAAAGTCTTTATTATATAATGTATTTTTTTGGAAAAACCTCAAGACAGTTCATTAAATTATCATAAGATACAAACATGAACAAGGTTTCATCAAAGTACACACAAGGGCAAAAATCTGAAAATGTTCATCCAATTATTACCAATTTCTAAATTGACTGAGATTTCAACAAAATATACATGCTTACCAAGTTTCATCAAGATCGGATAAAAATTGTAGTGTCTCTATTGTGCCTAAAAGGAAATTTGAAGTGTTTCACTAAGTCAGGGGCAATAACTACAAAAATGGTCTTCTGATAACCAAAATCGAACTTGACTGAGATCATAGATACATGCATACCAAGGTTCAAGATAAAAAGCCAAATATAAAGAACAAGGGCAATAACTCATACTAAATATTTTTCAATTCTACTGATTTTCAATAGGGTTCATCCTTGGGTGATTACGAACACTCATACAAAGTTCTGTCAAAACCCATCAAGAATCATGCCTTTTAGTGTTAAGAGCTAAATTTAAAAGCGTTTTTTCTAGAACAAGGGCAATAACTCATACTAAATATTTTTCGATTCTTCTGATTTTCAATAGGGTTCATCCTTGGGTGATTACGAACACTCATACCATGTTTTATCAAAATCCGTCAAGAATTGTGCTTACGAGCAATTGTGGACTGACCGACCGTCATACATGGGTAATGGCAATGTACGCCCCTCATTTCATGTGGGCGTATAAAAATATACATGCATACCAAGTTTCATCAAGATCGGATAAAAACTGTAGCCTTTATCGCGCTACAAGCCAAATTTGATGCGTTTTGTCATGGACAATAACTCCAAAAACCATTCTTTCGATAATAACCAAAATGGAACTTGACTGACTCAATATGCACATACAAGAAATGTACAAACTAACACTGCCGTAGCTCACTGTGCAAAATTTGTTGTTTGTGTAAAACAAAATATATACCTTGATTTCTGATGGGTGAAACATAGTTATTGTCATTCACATTTCTCCAGTCAAATTGTTCAGGTATTGTCTCAGACAATCTTTGTTGTTCCCATGTTACTGGTGCTGCTTTGATTGGACTAAACAAGTAATAAAATATTACTACCAATTTATAGACATATATAATTGCAACTAAAATACTGAAACTAAGGGCATTATAACACAAAGGCACCTAGCTTCTGCGATAGTGACATCATATACAATGCATTTCATTACAAATAAAAGCAATAAATAGCCCTGATAAGCTTGAAAAACTAATCCCTTTAGTATGACATAAACATGATATCACTGGTACTGATTTCTTACTCTCCTGTTCAAATTTTGCTGGCAAGTAATTTAGTATCTTTAACTATACCTACCCAAATACTTGTGAAGCAGGTCCACCAGCTTTATTCAATAGTTCTCTCATTGGTTTTCCTTCATATTCAGGATATACTGTTGCTGTCCATAATTTCTGTTGTTTATTGATGTTATTGATATAATCATAGTTTAATTTAAATAATCTGAAAAAATATTAAAATCATTATTTGGATCATATTATTAGAAATCATAAATCTTGTAGTTTTATTGACTTCTGCAATTAGTAAAATGAATAAAACTGTTCTCAACATAGTAGCGTAAATAACAACTTAACTTTACTCTAAATGGTCCAACCAGTTGTGATATCAATATCTATACCAGACTTATATCACTTAATTTTGTTCTTTCAAAACTATTGCTAATAATCAGCATATATTGGTATGACTTGACAATAATATTAACCTCACAACTTAAAAAGTCAATGGCAATGGACATACAAGCATCAAAATAAAATCACTCACCTATGTGGTTTATTTTTTTTGTAATATTTTGGTGGAACAGATGTTATTTTCTTACCATAATAACATGCCCAGTCTCTGTTAAATGTATCATGTGACCAGCCTGGTAGAGTTTTATCACATATACTAGATACAGTAGAACCAGATTGTTCATACATAGAGAAAGCAAAATATTTCCTTCCAGATATCACAACTTCAAAACCCTGAAAAATTTATAATATCTGGTGTGTAATATATGGGGAAGGTGTGGACAAATTTGACATTTGAAATATATTTGTTTAAGTTAAAATATAGTGAGGAATGACTCAAGAAACAAGATATTTGGCTTTCTTCAGATAGACAATTAAATGTTAATATGTAGTCATTAACTCATCATTGGATAGATACTCCAATTCTCTCAAACAAGAAATATTTTGTGACGTCTGAAAACAGACTCAGTTTCAGTTTCTATTACTAACTTGATTGAAAGGGAAGAAGGAAACAATTCGAGTCATCAGAATTATTAATATCAAAATTATGGATGTTGTTTTTCCTGTCTGAAATATTGAGAAAAGATAATCAATGCCAGACTTCAAATCACAACAAATGTTACATAATGCAAAACACCTCAAATTTCTTATATACATACCTGATTGTAAATTATCGTCCAAAAACCTTTGTTACCAAATTCATCTACAGCAACATCAGGGAAATATAATGTCACTTGTAACTGACTTTTTGGATTTCCTGGAATATAAAAGTAAATATCAGCTAGAAATAGTCATAAGTCTACAATTTCTGTTTCTATTCCTTTTTAGTTGTACCAGTACCCGATTCAGCACCTTGGACTTGTGTTTCACACTGTTTTTCTAATCATACTTAATTATTATTAGTAGGCTACTTACCCATGTTAGAACAATTGACAGTATTATCATGACCATTGCTACCAATAAAAAATGTCCATGTTCCCTTAATATCATCAAAAGTACAGTTTGCTGGAGTGTCAGCCCAAACAGCTGTCAAAAATAACAAAGATAGAAACACAGACAATTTCATGCTGACAGTTCTGATGTTTGTTATCTTGTGAAGTGAAGTTTGAGGTCATGTGATAATTTTCATGACAGTCATGTGACTTCTAAATAACCTTGACATTCATTGGCGAATTCTTTTAAACTCTCGTTCAAGTTCGTCTTTCAATCTATTTTCAAAGATATATTTCGTGTATTTTGTGTTTCAACATTTGACTGACAACTGCTTCAATCACATTTTAAAAAAAAAATAACCGGTACAAAAATATATTTTTTGAAAATCTGAAAGCCCAAAAGAATTTGATCTCATAATTTTATCACATGACATGTCTAAAGACTGTTCACTTCCGGAAAATATTAGAGGCGTTTTGTTTTTCTTCTTAATTTTTAATTGTAAAGTCGCAGTTGATCTCCAATAATGTTTTCCTTCTTCCAAAGAATTTTAGACTGGTTCAAGAGTCTGTTTTGGAAAGAGGAGATGGAGCTCACTTTAGTCGGACTTCAATATTCAGGAAAAACAACGTTTGTAAATGTCATCGCTGTGAGTAAAATTTCCAATATTCTTTCGTTGAGCTGAGTTTGCAGTTGAAATGCCAAATCGTTTACTGATTTACTAATTGACATTTGACAACTTAATGTTTTCAACATTTTTCATCACTATGTTGTGATACCTCTCATTTTTGTCTGTCTAGATAAATAGTATTCTAGATTTATTATAGAACTGTTCTTTGTTTTAACAGAAAAGTAGAACAAGCACATGACAGATTAGTCAGCTGGGTCCATCTCAGGAGGATAAAAGTCTAATTGGGTCAACATTATAGAGGTTTACTCTGAATGATGGATGGTTGTTAAATCATATCAGCAAAATAACTAATAGTTTAAATTGTATCAGCCTGTTATTCAAAAGTTTTGTGATGACATAGGGTTGTCACTTGTACCATAGTTGGATTTTCCCCAAACTTTGAATTTTAAATCTGATATCACACTTTCAACTCGACAAATTCAAATTACAATAAGAATGGTAACGGTACAGATTCATTTTGGTCATATTGTAAAATAGGTTTCCAGAGTGTAACCCAATTTAACATGTGTTTTTAATCTTGTGGCATGAACTCTAGTAGGCTACTTGTTGTCTACACCACAACTATGAGTGGCCATGTAGATGGTATAGCACATTATGTGGTTTGATAAATGATAACCATATTTTGTGTTTTCTAAAGTAGACTTAAAAAATGGAACCTGACATTGTAATTTGAAGTTGATAACCTCCAAACCTTCTGCCAAATTATGGTTACTGGTTCTTTGCTAATTAAACAACATTGATTACTTCTTGATTATTGCGTAGCGCTATGGTCCCATTCTATCTCCTATGTAACTTTCATAAAAGTCATAAATGTATTCAGATTCCATATGTTGCATGAAAGAGCCAAAAAAACACAGTATAAATTTCCAACCCTGCATCTCAAAAAGAAAGGTATAATAGATTGTGTTTTCTGTTTTTCTATATGATATTTTGATTTTCTTTTCAGTCTGGTCAATTCAGTGAAGATATGATCCCCACTGTTGGTTTTAATATGAGAAAAATAACAAAGGGCAATGTCACTATCAAGGTATGTGTAATTCACTGGTGATAATTAGAAACTGTGCAAAATTAATAAGCAAGTTCAACTAGAATCTTAAACATTGTGAAAGTCCAAAAATGTGTGAAGATGTTACTTAGTCATAGTACAGGTAATAATAGTTGAAATCCTGTCATACCATATGAAATTAACTGTTTATTATTTACAGTTATGGGATATTGGTGGTCAACCCAGATTTAGAAGTATGTGGGAGAGGTACTGCAGAGGTGTTAATGCTATAGTGTAAGTATTGATATTGCCAATTCATCTATTATTGGACAGTAGTCTGATTGAAAACATTCTCCATTTAAACTTTAAAACCTGATTTTGAAGTCATCAAATCTCAAAGGTGAGTTTTAACAAACATTAATAAATGTGCAATTATTCAACATAATATAAAAATAATACTGTGTTTGAATTTTCATCTTTAAATCAACAAATATTTTGTCTTGTCCTGAATGAAATTTCTATTTTCCGATAGCTATAAAGCTCAACTAGACTTAATGCACACTTATATTTGATGAATTAAAAGCTTGTTTTACAAAATGTATGCAGAAATAGGTGTAAATGACCATTTATTGATTTGACATAAATGCACTTCTGCTTTTGGTTCCTTTTTAAAGTAATATGTAATATTAAAAACTGAATGAGATGAATATTAATTATTTATTTACAGTAATACCTGTTGTTAAGGGCATAGTTATCCATTACGACTGATCAATTAAACATCAGGGAATACAAATACCAGTATTAAATAGGCCAATGTGATAATTAATCTGACGATTTTTATGTTGATATTTTCTGCCTTCTCAAAGCGCTTGAGAGAGTGAATGAATTTGATCATAAGGTTAGGCCAAAAGGTTTTAATGACAAAGTTCAAGAGGCCCGTAATTAGCGCTAAATTAGAAATATAAGGTTATTTTTTTTAAATAATGGTATGGTAATTATCAGTGCTGATTAATTGTATTTTTTAATTGTTTTATTGTATTCTAGCAATAATATTTCTCTTGTTATTAATCAGATTTATGGTAGATGCTGCAGACCATGATAAGTTAGATGCTTCAAGAAATGAATTGCATAATTTATTGGATAAACCTCAGTTACAGGGTATACCAGTATTAGTTTTAGGTAATAAAAGAGATTTACCAGGGGCACTGGATGAGAAAGAGCTAATTGAAAAACTGTAAGTATGATTTTGGACATTAAGATACATTCAGTATTTTGTAAATATTATTGAGTATTGCAATTTATGTGCGGGTCAAAGGCAAAAACTTAATTAAGCATCTGAAAAATAGTTCTTAGTAAAGATTAATCCACACCAAACCTTTATCTACAGTCCGGCTTTTAATTAAAAATTGCATTTATTTTCTTTTAGCCAAAATTATCATATTTAGTGCATTTGAAAAATACTGTAGCTTTCACCCTGATTTTATTTGACTTTAGACTAATGACTTTATTTAATGCTCTTGCATTTTATGATTTCCAGGAATCTATCTGCAATCCAAGATCGTGAAATTTGCTGTTATTCCATATCTTGCAAAGAAAAAGAAAACATAGGTAAGATATATTCATAACCTCATTTGACTTGAGTTTGGAGGCAATAGGCCATTATATCCTGCAATTTCAATTTGAAAACTGTTTTGAGGAAAGACAATTGTGTCAAGGATAAATAATATTTATATCACAGCTTACACGAGTTAACCGATTTTTAAACAGTTAAAAAAATGAAAGCATAATATAAAATTGCTTATAACATGAATGATATTGGTCTGACAAATGTGGGAGCAGCCTTCTTGTGATATAATAAGCATTGCATATGTATACAATGCTGTATTTTGGTATGTAAGCAAGTGATCATATTCCTTTCCTTATGGTGACATTTTAGTGACTATTTATTTCCTGATCTCTGACAATGAGGATAATTTTCTTTCAAGATTTGTACATGAGGATGATGATATTAAACTTTTCGCAAAGATTCAGTGTCAATAACTTGACTTTATATGGAAATCCTGATAGGTCTGAATTGTAAATTCACTTTATATTTTTTCAATGAGGATATATATATATACAGTGGTATAACCTATTTTCGTGGATATACGGATGCAACACTGAATTTTGTCAAAGTTAAAAAAACAGAATTTTTTTTTATGTCTTAGATCATCTTAGATGTTTCCTCAGATATTCTACAAAATAATTAAAATTGGTTTGTTTCGATTTTCCTTATGAGTCCTTCACTTTGACCCATATTTCATGAGCAACCAACTCGGCAACAGCGGCAGAATGCATCACCTATTTTCGTGTACAATGTTTGATCTATAAATAAGTCTAGAAAAACATGTTGTATGGATACCGGGTGGTATAATTAACTATAATTAACTAATTATCTTTAATATCAATTCATTATAACTAGTGACAATTCCTTCAAAGAACCATGATTTAAAAAAAAATAGTCGCTGAGAAAATAAGATACGTAGCGTGATTTATTGCTAAAAGTCATTGAAGCAACATCAGAATATGGCCCACTTTGTGTTCCATAGAAATTTTCTGCTGACACGGAGTCCGCTAGTTGATCACATGACTTCATTCGTTGGACTACATTCTAGCAGACGACACTTGGAATTCCGTTTACCGCTTGGGATTATAAGGAAATTTGGTCGATAAAAAATGGTGACGTTTGTTAATAACTGAAATCCGCCATTTTGTATTTGTCAAAGTATACATTAATACATTTTACCTTGCTTGAAACTACTGGATTCATTCTACTAGCTGACATTGTAGAGATAACCTGTGTTTATAAAAACAAGCTAATGCGGAGGTTGTGCAAGGTCGCTCATGTAAATTATTAAACATTTCCGGAAATCCACGAAACACAGGCTAGCACGAAATTAGGTTACTTGACTGTATTACTGTATGTATTATATAATATTTCAGATATCACATTACAGTGGCTTATACAGCATTCCAAATCTGGGCACTAAATGGACCTGCTTGAGGTTAAGGGTGTGGTTTGTGTTATGATTGACATCTGTATGATGTGAAGCTAGCCAATAGCTGACTGGTTTCGTTGTTTTTGTATTCAGAGCATGTTTGAATCATTGTGTATAACAATTTCATACTTCTTAATGTTGTAAAGTAAATTTTTGAACTTTTAGTTACAGAGGTAAACATTTCTTACCTGTTAAAAAGTGTAATGTGTGTGATTGTTAATTTATTTCATAATTTGGTCAATCCTTAAAACAATTGGATATGGCCAACAAAGCATTGCAAGTAACTTAGTTTGGCTTTCTTTCTGAATCTATGTATATTCCCATGGCAGGCATGAAAATGTTTGTATGTGATAAATAGATTGATTGACTATTCTTGTACCAAAATTAACAGAATACACCAAGCTTAGATTCACACATTTAGACTTCTCAAGTGAACCACCCTTCAGATGAATTAAATGTTGTATGAGAAGTAAATAATTTCAATGAAATGCATTACCTATTCTTTGTGATAACATATAAAACTTTTTACCCTCTTCTCATTAAATGGTGCAGAAAAGTAGGATGTAAAACTCCATTTATTTCTTCTCATTAACAAATTCTATTCTAAAATACTGTTATTAAAACGAATGTTTGGGATCATTGGTTATTTCCCTTTAATGTTAATTAGAAATAGAAAACCAAACTGCAATCATTGGTGTACATTTTACTAAATAATGGGGAGTTCTACCTTACTTAAATTAATAAGCATATTGATATTTATTAAGGATGTATGCAAATTTCACATATGCTTTTTCTGTTTTGATGTAAATGAATGTGAATGTAAATGAGAGTGAGTGAAGAATGAGTCTTAGAACAATAATAAGCTGTATATATATCAAGTAATATTATAATGTGGTCTGTAGTCTAGTTTGCCTTTATTGTTCCATTTGTGATTTCAACAAAATGATTTAGGCTGAATTTCCAGGTAATGTCAAACCTTAGCTGTTGATTGTATCTAGTTTCCACTGACAAAAACATTTACTTCAGGTAACTAAATAGATAATAAGTCAATATGGTTGTTTTTCCAGCTGATAGAGTTTACATTCTGCTATCTATATCTCTTTCCAGAGTTAAAATCTGATCACCAGTCTAAATATAAGGAATTTCGGATTTTGATTTTAAAAATTAATATAGATGAAGCAAATATGTGGACAATTGTATCTTTTTAAGATGGAACGACACTTTTGTTTCACATGATAGTATTCATCCAAATGCAAAAATTATCCAGATATATGTACATAAATCAATTCATTCAAACTGACATGTGATACTATTTATTTGGTTTCTGATATTTGGATAGAGTTGATATACACTTTTATAATTGTGCTGACTAGTAGATTACATTAATTCAATATATGATATGGTATCTGATCATACATTAATCTTGTTCTTCTACTTAACCTTTAAATCTTTAGTTAATTTATATTGTATGTCCCACTTTCCATGATATCAAAACATTACAGAAATTTCCTGCTGACCCTAATAAAATAATGAGGTTTAAACTGGCTGCAATAGATATTTCAAATTTAGTCAGCTTAAAGATTGTCTGAATATGAACTCACTGGTTTTTATTCATAGTTTGCACATTTGTTATAATTTTCATTCTAATACTTATCCTCTGTAAAACTGGTATGACCTATATTTTTTATTGGTTTATTGTTAAATAAATATACCAATCTGGTAGTCTTTAACCAAGTTGACAAAGTGCTGTCACTGATTATCTATAACATTCAAACTGGTTGGATAGAATACCTCATAAAACTGACATTCTAAATTAGATTTTGTAATTCTATTTATAGTCTTAAACCATATTATATGCTAATTAGCTGAAAGTATAAGAAAATTAAGACACATTACCTTTGATGAATAAGACACCATAGATGTCTTCATTGGACAAGGTTTGATGTTGAATAGAAAAGTTCATTGGGTTTATATTTATCTCCATAATAATTATATGTACATGTAATTAGACACTCTAAATTTCACTGGTATATTATGTAATGTTCTTATGTAGCCGGCCCTGTAGTTTTAAAGTTATAAACACTCTATTACTCTTGTATACTATATAGAAAAAAACATATTCTTGTCTGCATTTGCGTCATTTTTAATATTTAATAAATATGTTCAGTTGATTATGAAATATAATATTTTTGTATTTTTTTTTGTGTCAAATGACCTGGGATCTATATACGTTGTAATCTTGACAAGTGCTGGGACCTGGCAGTGGTGGATGTAAGAGCCATAAAATTATCAAGGGTGGCTCACGGGGCAATTTTGAATATGATCGACACTGATTTGTTGCCAATTACTCTGTTAAACCCATATTTTGCTATTTCGGGGAATGCTTTGGATCTTGAATATATTTAAGTAGTCTTCAGAATTACTATAACTGCACGAAATTGCCTAATCCTTCAAATATCACTCCAACTGGAAATTTCATTATGTATTTCTATATAAATGTAATCATGTATTTTCTTTACATGCGTCTCAATGAAAGACGAGTCGTCACTAGGTAAAACTAAGTTTCTATCTGAAATTTAGTAGTTTTAAACACATAATTCTGGACACACATGAAGTTAAAGGTTCAAATTTCTACTGTTCGCTATGAACACTATTACTTGTTAGCTTTGCTTAACTTGTGAACTTGTTACTTTAAAGTACTTAATATAAGTTATTTCTCCTGAAATGTGACAATTCATTATACAGAAGCAAAGTTTCTGAATTTCACTATAGACCTCATCTTGATGAATGATATCCCGGTCGAAATGCAGAAAATGTTCCCTAATCAAAAACGTTTAGATTGTCATCATTGCACACGGAAATGTTCAGCAGATCTTAATGTTTCATTCCTTGTTTCTCTTGACTGGTGACAATATTTACCATCCATGATCTCACGAATTTCGTTCTGTGAAATGTTGATCAATAGCATTAAGAGTTGTATGCTAGCGAATCAAAACATTGTTAGGCAATACAAGTCAATGTTCAACAATTAGTAAGAATTAATTTAATAGGACATTTGATAGGTTGAATATTAAATGTCCTTGAACATGATTATATAAAACTCTCCGGCAAAAAAGGAAACGGAACATACAGATTTGCATTTTCAGATATAGGGAGATATGAAAGTAAGCTCTGTCAGCCGATAAAGCAAATAAATATAAATACGATTACATGGCTTGTGTATTTATTTGTCTAAAGTAGACCTTGTTACTGACAAAACAGACTTTCAAACAAGTAGATTATTCTTATTATTTACCAAAACTGCAATCCATTTCATTCAAGTTTTTTTTTTAACATTTAATGCCTTCAGTGGTGGCAATCCTTGTAAGAAGTTTTTATATATCCATTTATCCATAATGCAGATGGGTAAAACTGAGTTGAGTAAAGCTTGAATCTGAAATTTAGTATTGTTACATGGTGATGAGAATATAGTCTCATAATAGCTTGGGACTAGGTCACTAAGTAAAGATTTATCATTAATCAATGTGCTTTTGAAGATAAAGAAATTGCAGAAAATATTAAGAACATAATATCTGAACTCCATCGGAATCATATAATACAAGACTCTATCGTGAAAGATAGCTTGCCAAGCAAGGAAACATATGCCCACTACCAGCTGTCACCAATGATAAAGTCTCTAGTAGCTTAATTTTGGATTTTCAAATAATCTAAAAAAATATTTATAAGTCAAGGCAAAACATCAAAAACAGTGGTTTCCGTATAACATCAAATCTACTGACTATATACTTACACTATAGTAATCATAAAATCCTTTTCCTCCCTGAATCATATACCGAGTTTCAGGTTCTTCATTTAATAAAGCGTCTTTAAAAGCGTTCAGAACCGGTTGCAGTGTTGGACAAGTCGTAGTGGCACTTTGTTTTGCGGCGTTATATAACCCTTGGTGATATTCCTGTCCATATACTTCTTTTATCTCCTGGCTAGCATTCTCCCACATAATATCCATATCTTTCTTAATACGACTTGTCTGAAATTAGTTCCTGGATCCTATTTATTTAGTAAAAACTGACTGACTGGCAATTGAAACCGACTGGCTAATCAGATTTTTTTCAGCTTGTCAGTTTTAAAGTAGGTGAATTGGGTAACAAAATAAGTCAGATGAAGATAGCGGCTAAAATGGATTTCCTTAACAATAACGAATTTACTTATTGAATTTGAGACAAGGCCTGTGATATGTTCTCTACTGCAACTTATCTTGCAGTTATGACTAGATATTCCTAGTAAAATCAGCAAGATGAGGATAAAAAGTTTCATGTATTTTTCAGAAAACCAGAGTTTTTTCTTTTCCATTATCTGCCAGTGCATGTGTTAAATTCTTCCTAACCTCATTCTCATAATCACAATGTCTTGACTTGGCTCCACAACAGAGTTAATTTTGCACCTTTATGCCATGCTGACTGCATGATTGACATATTTCCAAATTGTTTGGACAGTTTTTGGCATTTTTTTATATTGACAATTGTTTCTTCTGCAGAAAACAAAGTATTCATTGGTCTTGGCCCAAACTGGTAGACCTACGTTGCTGATGCAGAAATAGATTATCTTTTTTCAAGCGCACTTGAGTTCGTTTGTATTGCATTTCAGTGGTGAATTTATCTTATAGCTTGGTTAGGTTTGAAAACAACAAGAAGAGCTTTCAGAAATGCATCCTTGCATCAATATATATAAACAGACATATTACAAAGTGGTGAATATAGGTTGACTTAAAATCAGCGGTTATTTGCAAACACAACTGGCAGATTTTGACACTTGACAGAAAAGAAATCGGTGGAAGCGGCGGCGGCTCCAGGATCTACTTGAAATACAGTAGGTTGGGTTCGATCACGGTCGAGATAATGCCTTCAGATGCAGGTCAGAAATGACATTGTAAAAACGTCTAGTCGATCGGATGAAGATATAAAAACCACGGTGCGTGTGGTACAGGCTGTGCTTAAAAAATTCTTAAATAGTTGGAAATCGATAAAAGGAATTATGCCACTACTCCCATGGAACATTTTCTCTAATTCCAGACTACCTTGTTTTCTCGTTAGCCCAATCGTGTACAGACGGAGTAACACGGAAATACCATTCCATATACCTTAATATTGTGTTCGTTATTAAATGAATGTCTTACAATGTATTTGTAACTATAATTTTGAGATCTGAAAGTGAACTTGCTGGTCACAAACGTTTCATCAACGAAGGGTTGGTTATAAAGAACAAATATAAAAATCCAAAAGAAGGTTGTAGCTTACCCCCTCCTTGTTCAAACAACCAGTAGCACCACCAAAATTCCCAGGCTCAATTATAACAACTTTAATACCAAATTTCTTCATTTCTTGTCTTAAAGCATTTGAAAAAGCATCTCCACCATACTTCGTTATGCCATAAACAGAATTACATGGTAGGGATATTCTAGCTTTAACACTTGTTACATTGACTATTCGTCCTAAAATAGGAGATGGAGAACTAATTGGAGAATAACAGAAGATGAATTCCCAAACGTGTATACTAAACGTTTGGTCACTGCATATAAAAGAAATAAAAACTTAAGTAATGTATTGGTTCATGGTAGATCAGAACCCTTTTCATCAACTCCCTGAAACAATTGCATTGGAATTTGAGTTGAATATATTTTTGTTTTTAATCTCTCCAGAAGTAATAATCTATGAATAATCTTCAGTAAAACATATTCTGTTTGAATTGAAATAGTTTTCATGTTGAAATCCATTATAGTCTCTACTTGTGACTTAGGCCAGTGCTTCTATAAGAGAGTATCTTCTATAACACCTATAACCCCTTTATCATGATGTCTTTTAATCTATAGGCTACTATAAAGGTGATTAACAGTTAACTGCTTTACAGCAGCATCGTACACCACCCTTGATGATTGAATGTTCATTTGCCCAGCCATACTAAAAGCCTTCCAGAATTATCTTTATTTACTTCACAGAACTTAGTGATGGTGTATTTCCTTTCTGATACTGATAACCCAAATTCTTAGAATTAACTGATGTGAGTTATAAGAAATGCCACCAACCTGATTTTTTTCTCAGTAGAGGAAGAAATGCTTTTGTAACACGAACCATACCATACATATTAACATTTGATGTATCTAAATATTGCTTCATTGTACATAGTTCAATATCACCGAGAAAATTGATACCTGCATTATTCACTACACCCCATAAACCTGAAATTGTTACAAGGTATTGATTATTGTGCTTGCTGGCTTGCCAAGTAATTGATAAGATTAAAAAGGATTTTGGAAGGGGCATCAATTGACACAAATAATGAGCACTTGATGGAAACTAACATCGAGTCAATTCCCCTACATAGAATATAAAACATTAAAAGGTTGCCTATCCCTATTTTTGGATTGACATTTACAGCAATGAACTAACCCGTCTCCCTACATATTTCTTCTACTTTTTCTAAGCACTCTTTAACACTATCGTCTTGGCCTACATCCATACGTAAAACATGGAGTTTATCGGAAGCAATCTTCTTTAATTCTATGGCACCAGGACTTTTGTCATCATAGCAAGTTGCTATGACGCTCACTCCTAAGTCATCTAAATACTTCGCCAAACCATTTCCAAATCCTGAAAAGGGAAACAAAACTTTGCTTGACCGCGCATGATATAAAAAGCATGATTTAGCATTATTCCACCTTCATAACGACTATCTGAAAAGATTATCGCTATTGAAATCTAGTATCTTTTGCAATCCATCATATATAGACCCGTTCTAATGAATAAATCAAAGCTTGTCATGAAGGACCTGTAACTTGAAAACAATGACAAATTATGGGAATTATACCCAAAGCAGAGCAATATGGCAGTTTTTTTGGGATTGGTATTCTCACAATTTGTCATTGTGTCAAGAAAAAAGACACTCTTTTGGATGGTCTAAAGAAAATAACGTCATTACGATATGATGAGAGAAAATTTGTTCGATTACAATGTAGACGAAAAATATCAGGATAAAAAGGAAAACAATTATAATCTGATGTAAATTAGTCACGAAATTGACCTTTTATTTAACAGGATATATTCATTTATATATATTAAAAAAACAACAATATATTTATCACCTGAATCACAACCTGTTATCAACACGCATTTGCCGTCTGTTCTTAGGAATTTTACCGATTTTTTCTGAATAACACTATAGCAGGAATATAAAATAGGTATTAAAATATACGTTGAAATATAAGCTGATGTTATAAATCCATATAGTAATAGTACTGCAGATATTATAAACAGTCCCTCAAATATTCGAATACCCGCCCTATCGGATATTGATTTCATCTGAAAAAAAAAAAGATTTGTAATTCATCAGATTTTAGTATCACCGACAAATTAAATTATTGTTATATGTTATTACAAAGCACAATGTTTTCCGACAGGAAGGCATGAAGGCATCATATCAGTTCACTCAAAAGGAAGAAATGTAAAACAGAGGTTTGTTTATATATCTATATTTGTCACCTGTCCTCAATACACAGTGCATAGTGTTCTCTTCCATTTTCTCAGTCGCGTAAGAGATTATTTTACGAATGAAGTATAGTCTTGAAAATAATGTAGATTAGGCGGCAATTAAAGGCTTTCTTTTATGTCCATGCATCGAGACTTCAGCTTTTAACCTGCTTTACAAACGAAAGGTAAAAGCAGAAATTGATATACGCCCCTTAACATATCCTTTGCAATAGATTTACATAAGTAGCTCATTGCGTATATAGTGAAATTTAAAGCTGTTCAGTTAATGGATAAGTATGGAAAGAAGGTACGTTTTGGAGCAACTAGTAGTCTAATTTAACTCAATTTTTTACATTGACATTCTGACCTAAAATGAAATAAATAATAGACCTAAACTTACCGTAAATATTGGCTACGAATTTATTCTTGTATTGCATTATCTATTTAGTTGACCTACATTATGTGTATAGTAGTCATGTCGACCCTTGTAATATACTTGTGTGTGTTCTACGAAACGTACTGAAGTCAATAAATACAATTCACGAGAAATGCACAACTTAACAGTCACTTCCCTAGTCTCAAAACATTCAAGTGTTTTGTGAATTCGTTCAATTGATATCGAACAGTGTGAATAAGCCTTACTGTAAATATTGTTTAAGTCGACGTGTTAAGTTATATTTATAGGAGTTTTCATGGGTTTACCGATATAAACACCGGGTCGGAAGGGTGAGTCTGTTTAAGAGTCTGTTTAAATCGATGAACGTGTCAAAACTTTCTATTGATTTCCACTGACAAAGGTCTGACAGCTGACAATGCTTAGGTTATGATCGCTGCACGTGTAACGCTGTAATTTTGTTTCCATGCAAGGCACTGTTGTTTTATCAGTTTGTGTAACTGGTTTGGTTACTGGATACAAAATACAATTCAGACGCAGAGAATTTCTTTGATATCATGAAGAGAAAATCTATAAATGAGTATGTTTACATAATTCATTTGATTTGATTTGGTCGCAGTTCATTAAGACATGGAAACCTAAGACTACGAATGAGTCTGGATGTTCGCACTAATTTTTGCTCATCCGGGTACCGTCAGAACATGAAAAACCACTCCATTATAATTGAACATTAGAATGTCAGAATTAACAACCCTAAAATTGAAACTTTTTGTGAACAAACCAAGTTGCTTTATGTATATTTTTATTTATTTCCGATTCTCCAATGTTCATATTCCTTCGAGTGATTAATCAAACACTCTTAATGCACTAGGCTAAACGTGCAATCGAGGGGGGCAATTTAGTAAAGCACCTTGACAGACGATTAAACGTCGGGAAACGGACTTTCATGGAGTATTTTAGATTCGAGATTATTTTTGTTAAAACACACAAGTTATAATACGTTACATTTTTATTGCCGTTTTAGTTTAAACGTAGTCGGGTATGTTTTATGGCAAATCGTTGAACAAATACGTCCAAGTTAATTTTCTGGGTACGCTTCCTGTTGAAGGCAAGAAGAACAAGATTGCGCTAGCGAAGCTGAGTCATAGATCGTCGTTGTGGTGAGTCAACGCGAGTAAGAGTTGAAAAGCTGTTTTCACACACAGCGGTAATAGAACCGAATGTGGCAACGCTTGCAGCCAGTGCATATAATTTAGGGAAAGCCAATTTCTGCTCGTATAGTTTTTGAAGAACAAGATTGGAGTCCTGCTTTTCTGTCTTGGCAACGTTATCTTGGAGAAATTGTTTTGACACCTCAATTGTTATGCTTCTCGAGGCCCTTTCCAGTATCACCTACAGCATGCTTTCAATCTGTGTAGCCTTCAGTGATGAATTTTTATGCACCCGCAGATCTTTTGTGAAACACCCGACATGAAAATCAAAAAGGGGCGTCCCTTGACACTGAATACTCCAGTCATGGAAATCGATCATACCAGCTGTTACTAAAATGGCGACCAGACTTCGCTGGAAATTTTATTCTCGGTTGCTTTGGAACGTCTTCTTTTCCAATGTCACCTGGTACTCCTGTCTTTTCAGAGCATCTTGGTACTGCATGCGTTGTGTTGCCCGCTGTGGTTTTGATACCAGTGTCAGTCGTAGTAGTGTCGGAACCATCAAGCAATTTGCCTTTTTTGATCAAATATTTATCCATTTTTCCTACTTTGGGTTGTTTGATTAATATGAATACAATTTAAGATAATGTATGTCTATTGGTTAGTATTTATAATCAACCAATCAAATCTTTTGAATTTTGAGACGGGACAGATTACAATCCAGTATCAGACCAATAATTTTGTTACCAACGTCGCTTTACTGCAGACTTTTTACGATTTTCAACGAACTCAATTGTATCAAATTATCTATTCTAATGTAATTGTGCTGTAACATGGTTACACCTTTGTATAGGTCAAATGTTATGTTAGTGGTCTAAGTCCACCTTTTTGTTTTAGTCCAATGGATTATTCCTCTTCCTATTTTCACTTTCTCTAAACATTCCAACATGTGCTCAGAAGCCTAGAATATTCGTTTCTTCATCAGTTATGCCAGAGTCGCCACGGTCTTTTACGGCGATCTTATTGGTATGATATTGTTGTAAAGTGCCAATAAAGTCCGTTAACAATCTGTGTGAGTTATCCGTAACCGGGCAAGATGATTTGGTTTTAGGGGGGTATTTTGGTATTTACCCGAGGTTCTGAAGCCAACCCTCATCAGCGGTCCATCCAATATCTCCCGCATTCCCAAACTCGACAACGACACCCAAGCGGACTCTTTTCCTAGAGCTAACTAATATCGCCCATATATTCAACATCTGGTACAAAATAGAAGCTACCGACATTCAGTCAACCTAGCCACATCCAAGTCTCCTACTGCCACCGTTTTTACCACCCAAATACCACTTTCATCTGTCCTGATCCCACTTGAACCATATGAAACCGAAAATCTCAGAAGATATAACCACCTCATCTACCACAAGCCTTCTCCTTTGCCGCCACTGTTCAAAGATCCAATGGAGTGGTTAAAGTAAACTCGGATCACGTTCCCCAGACGGCCCCCACAACCCGAAGTATCTTTGGTAAATGGATCTCCCATTTTAAGTATTCCGAGTTAGTGTCAGACCGTTGATCTCTAATTTTCCTGTAGTAAACGAGAAAAACAATTTGGCAAACTTTGAGAGAAAAGTACGGAAGCGTAATAGTGCCACATAATTTTTTTTGTTTCAAATCCGACTAAGTAACTTAGTAACTCGAAAATCCGACTTAGTAACTCAAAAAACTGACTTAGAAACTCGAAAATCCGACTTGGTAACTCGAAAATCCGACTTACTAACTCGAAAATCCGACTTAGTAACTCGAAAATCCGACTTACTAACTCAAAAATCCGACTTACTAACTCGAAAATGGGTCACACATATTTTTTTCAAATCCGACTTAGTAACTCGAATATCTTACTCTGTAACTCTGTGATGTTTTGGTAGTAGGCTAAACTGGCTCATAATAGGGATGTTACAGTCAGCACATACTTTTCTCTTGGTTTAACGAACAATGAAATATTATTTTTCCTGCCTCACGATCATGGAATTGTCATCAGCCAACAGACATTGAAAAGGATAACATTCCGATGTGATATAGCTGTACGCATTCACAAAATTTGTAATGGTTCTGGAGGCAACCATTGATATATGTGGATGGACAAAAAACTTCGCCTGGAAGGATTTAATACTACCCAAGAAACAGTTAGACTTTTAATAGGGTTAATTGATTCTGAAGGTGTCAAAGCCCAGAAGAGGAAACGACTACACAGAAGACAATACCAATCTTTTGGACCTAACAGTGTATGGCACATTGATGGGTATAATAAATTATGTAGGTAGGTAGATGACAAGTTAACGTTCGCTCCCATCGGATTCTGATATCGCAAACTAGGTAGTTTTTGGTAGTCGCAGTAGTTAGTGGTTGGATTGATTCAATTTATAAATTAAAGCCATATGATATTTGTATCCATGGCTCTATCGATGGATTTTCCAGAAAGATAATTTGGATGGAAGCACGTTCTTCAAATAATGCAAAACTTCTATCTTAGGATATTTCACGGAAGCAATTAAGAGGCTGTCCTGAGATGATCCGATCAGACGAGTGTACGGAAAACAGGGTTATAGAACAACTACAATTATCTTTTTCGGAATGAACATGATGATTGTTACAAAACGTATAATAACGTAACGTCTTTGAAGGTTTGTGGAGTAATTATTCGGGAAGGACAACATCAGGAACAATAAACATCAATACAAGTACAACAGAGGAACATCAATACAGGTAAAACACAGGGACATCAATACGGGTAAAATGCAGGAACGTTAATACAAATAAAATACAGGAACATCTAAACTCTATCCTCCCGAGACCAAAGGGCAGGAGCCCAGTGGGAGCGGAAAACTGGAATCTCAAAACTACATGACTCTTTCTAAAGTTAGTTTAAACAGTATTTTTTACAAACAATATACAAACAAATATAAATATTACGGGAATAAATGGTGCGATACAGAGACAAGCTTGAAGCTTATATGAGTCTGTCTCGATTGTAGATGTACACAGAATTTGTTTATGAAAAGAAGAGAAATGAAAGCAGCGTTATTTGATATACATTTACATGGAAAGCAAAATATAACAGA